ACACACAAATATTATTTAAGGGAAAGGTGTTGTATGGTGTTAGCTTCAGTGAACGACACCACCCGTGTGACTGTACTGTGTGTTGTGCAGATCCAGGTCCCCAACAGCTGTGAGTCGGGCTCCCGCGGGGAGGTGGTGGAGGAGGAAGAGTTCCACGAGCTGGTGTTCGTGCGCGACCCGGCGGAGCTGAAGAAGGACCCGCACACATGCTTCTTCGAGGGAGAACATCACGCACACGGGTCTCAGTGGACCCCGCAGTACAACACCTGCTTCACCTGCTCCTGCCAGGTACAGACACCGCCTCAGCCGTAACACACACTGCCTGAGCCGTAACACACACCGCCTGAGCCGTAACACAACACCACCTCAGCCGTAACACACACCACCTGAGTCGTAACACACACCGCTTGAGCCGTAACACACACCGCCTGAGCCGTAACACACACCACCTGAGTCGTAACACACACCGCTTGAGCCGTAACCACACACCGCCTGAGCCGTAACACACACCACCTGAGCCATAACACACACCACCTGAGCCGTAACACACATCGCCTCAGCCGTAACACACACCACCTGAGCCATAACACACACCACCTGAGCCGTAACACACACCGCTTGAGCCGTAACACACACCGCCTGAGCCGTAACACACCACCGCCTGAGCCGTAACACACACCGCCTGAGCCGTAACACACACCACCTGAGCCGTAACACACACTGAGCCGTAACACACACCGCTTGAGCCGTAACACACACCGCCTCAGCCGTAACACACACCGCCTCAGCCGTAACACACACCGCTTTGAGCCGTAAACACACACCGCCTGAGCCGTAACACACACACCGCCTCAGCCGTAACACACACCGCTGAGCCGTAACACACACCGCTTGAGCCGTAACACACACCGCCTGAGCCGTAACACACACCGCCTCAGCCGTAACACACACCGCCTGAGCCGTAACACACACCGCCTGAGCCGTAACACACACCGCCTGAGCCGTAACACACACCGCCTCAGCCGCTAACAACACACCACCTGAGCCATAAACACACCGCCTTGCCGTAACACACACCACCTGAGCCATAACACACACCGCCTTGCCGTAACACACACCACTTGAGCCATAACACACACCACCTGAGCCGTAACACACACCGCCTGAGCCGTGACACACACCACCTGAGCCGTAACACACATATCAGTAAAAATTAGTTTAGTACACTTCGAGTTAACTGATCATGAACACACCTGAAGTATACTGAACTAGTCTGGCTGCAAGCGTACTCATGAAGTGTGTGTTGTCTGCTGTAATGTGTGCAGAAGAAGACGGTGATCTGTGATCCGGTGATCTGCCCTGCGCTCTCGTGTCCACACACTCTCCAGCCTGAAGACCAGTGCTGTCCCGTGTGTGACGGTGAGGAACCAGACTATCACATAAAGCCATTTTTATTTGTTTTGTCATTTAAGATTATTTCATTTTGATGCAATCTTTTCTATTTCAAATGCAATTTATTTTATTTACCTTTAAATTACTAGATTTGACCAATAAATAATAATAATTTAAGCACATTTTTTCGACTTAAATTCTAAATAATTCACAATTTCATTCATAATCCTTTTAATTCAGCTCTAAATATCTTACACTGGGAGTCTTTGACCTCTTGTGGAAAATAATAATAACTCATGATATTTCATGCCTCTAGATGGGCTTATAGCTCTATATGAGCAGCTGTTCCGCTGGGTCCTAAAGCCAGCCGCTTCAGTGTGTATTCAGATACTCATGTACACATTATACAGTAATTTTTTGTATAAAGTTTTAACATTTTTATTTTGAATACTGAGCATGTTTAGGTTGTTCTATGTTTACTGAAGCATTCCACTCATTCCTAAGGGGGTCAAGGTTGAGCCGCAAGGTTGAGCCACAAAAGTATTCCTGGTTGGAGTGCGACATAAGTCCTGGGGTCTTGACCCCTCTGATGAACACCACATTTTTTTTATTATTAATTTGATTTCTGTCAACAGAAAAGAAGGAGATCAAAGAGACAACTGCTGTCGAGAAAATCGAGGAAGATCCCGAAGGTGAGTTTATCTTAACCCAACACATAAAATGCAACATTGCAACTATCATTTTAAATGCGCGACTAGTTGGACGTGTAGATTAGTAAGATATCTATTTCTCCTTCAGGCTGTTATTTCGAGGGTGATCAGAAGATGCACGCACCCGGAACAACATGGCATCCGTTCGTCCCGCCGTTCGGGTACATCAAGTGTGCCGTGTGCACCTGCAAGGTGAGTCATGAACACAAACACCACATGTGGACACACAACAGCTTCAACTGCTTACTCACAAAATCACATCGTCACACAATGCCTGAAAGATGACACTCAAACACCAGATCTGCAGAACCAAGCACTAAACCTCGCCTCATAAAACACAACACACACACACATCTCTATGTGACACACAACTCTTTCAGGAAACTCTTTCAAACACAACTAATCGAAACACCACAGTAATTCATCAGAGCGTCACACACACGTGCAAACACTCATCGCTCTACTGAACACACACCAATCATGGCTCTAGAATAGGCCTATAAGAGGTCAAAGGTCGAGTTATAGGTTTTTCAGACTGTAACCACAAATGCTTACAGTAAAACAAATAATAGTTTGGTTTCAATCTTGTTTCCGTGATTACCGTGAATCTCTCTGCCGATTACTTTCACTCTTGCGCAGAAATGTTCGTGAAAGAAGAGCTTTATGTTTGAATAACGGTGTGTGTATGATATATCCAGAAATGACAAATGTTAGCTTTTGAGATGTTTGTGATATTTTGAACGCAGTGCTTTATTTAGCAAGAAACGTGAGGCATTTTACATTTTGTGTACAATTCTTAGATTTGTGTGTAAAGTTTCAAAAAAAGAGGCAAAGTTTTGAAAATGTGTGTAAGGAGTTAAGAAATACAGTATATTAATGCTTCCCATCATGGCCTGGTCCGTCACAGGGCTCCACCGGAGAAGTGCACTGCGAGAAGGTGACGTGCCCGCCCCTAACCTGCAGTCGACCAATCAGAGCCAACCCGTCAGACTGCTGCAAGGCGTGTCCTGCCGAAGACACGCCCCCTCTGGAGGACGACGAGATGATGCAGGCGGACGGGACGCGCCACTGCAAGTTCGGCAAAAACTACTACCAGAACAGCGAACACTGGCACCCGAGCGTCCCGCTGGTGGGCGAGATGAAGTGCATCACCTGCTGGTGTGACGTGAGTCCTGCGCCTTATTTCTGTTCGAGAAAAAAAGAAGAGATGTAAACAGAGAATTCCAACAAAAAAGTCTAAATTGCAAGATGTCAGAATCAATAGATAGAAAAAGCCACAATTACCTTTTCCATTGGACTGTGTAATCCTGTGTAATTTCCTGTGGACTGTTTTCCAGCATGGCGTGACCAAGTGCCAGAGGAAGCAGTGTCCGCTGCTGAGCTGCCGGAGCCCCGTCCGCCGCGAGGGAGCCTGCTGTCCCGAGTGCATAGGTGAGTCCGACGATAGCGAACATGAACTGAACGTACGGTATTGCTGTCTGATGAACGTTACTATGAACACGTTCATTCTGGCGTCTGTGAAAGCCCGCTCTCTCAGTTTAGCTTCGTACAATAGGGTGCCAGATTTTGGTGCCAGCGAAAACCCGGCTAAAACACATGTGAAAAGGCCTTAATATGTAGCGAAATAACACCCAATCTGGCAACACCAGCCACCAGTGTCGCACCGCGGCCGCCGTCGACAAAGCAGCGAGCGAGGAGGCGTCGTTCAATCATTTAAACGGGTTTTATGACGAGGTCGGTGAGGATGGGAAAAATCTTACGTTTCTGTGCAACCTGCCCGTCGATAAAATAATTGTTGTCTGTGGTTGTATATGGGAATAAAAATAAAATAAAAAAAAGCTCGCAACATATGAAAAAAAAGAACTATGAACTGAACTAGTTGATTTTAAAATATGTGAACTGAACTTTGAACTAGTAACTTTTTTTTCAATGAAATTAAAGTAGTATATTTTAGTCCAATAATACGTTTTATTTAATACTTAGTATGTTTTGCGGGATTATATGGTCTTAAATTATATTTACGCGGTATTTATAATCCATTTATTCTCTTTTTGAGCATAGACCTGAAAATTAAATGTCCATCTTAAACTGGAGAATCTGGAACGCTTCAGACTGAAGTTTCATCTCGTCTCACACACCACACTCGGCAGATTATTGCTGACGTGAGAAGTTTTAAATAGTGAACGTAAAAAATGTTTCCAGAATTTTATGTGTGTTGTTATGAAAAATGTGCAAAAATACTACTTTTCAATTTTTCTTTGAAATATATATTTTCAAACACACATTTTACTCTAAAACTGAGAAAATCAAAGCCATAACTCTACACGAGTGTGTGTTCCGCATGTGAGCCGATCTCTCAGTAAACGAGCGTTCAGAGAGTGTGTGTTCGGCTGCAGTTCCAAACGCTTCCACTAGAGGAAACTCTCAATGCGTTTCTGATGCGGAAACTGTTGTTATCAGGACCATTAAACCTGTTCGGATCATGGCCAGGATTTATGTGTGTGTTCACACAGCAAGTGGCGAAACCTTTACCAAGTTTCGTACCATTCCGATTAAAAAAAAAAAAGTATAATTTTTCGGTCAAAAATGACCGCAGAGCACCAGAGCGTTTACATAACCTAAATCCTGAACACTTTACTCAGCAAAGTCACCTCTTTGTTTTACAGAGGACTTTATGGGAAAAGAAGAAATGGCGAAGATGGTGGAGAAAAAGAAAAGCTGGAGACACTGACCCTTTCCCCAACGCTCGCCGCCCGCCTGTTCTGAGATCAGGTCGTCTCGAGCTCGCACAACGGGACGCCTGAGGACCGCACGACTAACCCAGCGCACGAAACCGAAGAAGAGCTCCAGACACACCGAATGTAAGAAGGAAGTTTGAGAGAAAGTGCTTCTGAAGATACAAGTTATCAAGGCAAAGCAGGAGAACGGCTCTCAGCCGCTGACGTTTGAGTTTGCCATCGACGGATTTTCTCACGGGAAAGTTTTAATTTTGTTTGCGTATTTGACTTGGTGCAAAACATCAGACACTCGTGCCAAGATTTTACACATCATCATCATCATCATCATCATCATCATACCTGTAAGCGTGTGCATGTGAGCACAATGTAAAAATACGCTTCTCAACAAAATGCACCTGCAATCTTTCATAATGCACATGACTCGAATCCCAGCCAATCAGCAGGACTGTTGCGATGCATCTGATTGGAGATCTGCCCTGTGGGAGGGGCCTGCCATGGGGGCAGGGTTTATAATGCTAATCAACATAAACCCCGCCCACTTCTGTTCCGCTGCACATGATGTTATAAGTCTGTTCGCTGGTATGTAATATTTTATGGCTATTTTCTTTCAGTATTTTGATTGTTATTATGAATATTATTGCATTTTGTATTGCATATTTATTAATGATGAATAAACAATAAAGTTTTAAAATTTATGTTGTCATAAAAGAAGCATGTTGTGGCTTGTTCTCTCTCTGTTTTCCATGACGGCGTTTAACCCTCTGCTGCTCCACGCCTGTCCGTCAAATATGGACGAATTTTTATTTCAAGGAATTTAATGTACTATATTTTAGTTCGATAATGTTTTTTTATTTCATAAAAGGGATTTTAAGGTACTTAATTGTGTTTACGCTGTGTTTATAATCTATTTATTCACTTTTTGAGCATAGACCTGAAAATTAAATGTCCATCTTAAACTGGAGAATCTGGAACGCCTCAGACCGAAGTTTGATCTCGTCTCGCACACGACACTCGGCAGATTATTGCTGACGTGAAATGAGCAAAAATACTATTTAAAATTTTTATATGACATATAATTTCAAAAACATACACGAGTGTGTGTTCCGCATGTGAGCCGATCTCAGTAAACGAGCGTTCAGAGAGTGTGTGTTCGGCTGCAGTTCCAAACGCTTCCACTAGAGGAAACTCTCAATGCGTTTCTGACGCAAGAAACTGTTGTTATCAGGACCATTAAACCTGTTCGGATCAGGGCCAGGATTTATGTGCGTGTTCACACAGCAAGTGCCAAAACCTTTACCAAGTTTCGTACCATTCCGGTCAAGAAGACGAAACAAAATAACAATTCTCGGTCCGAAAGACCAAAAGAAAAAGCTTTTAAAAGTGAAAATATCTGTGGATCATGCACTTCACCCACAATGCATCACAGGAAAACACCATTCCTCTTCCCAGAAGCACTGCTGAGGTGCTGAACCGCTAATAACTGAGAGCTTCCGCTCTGGAGGTTTACTCATCATCCTTCTGTTCCCCCTTTTGTTCCACAACTTTCCCGAGTGATTAATGCGCCGCTCATCGTCTCTGAATGCTTCTCATCGGGGAACCAGATTGGATCGCTTTTCTCAACCTCGTTCTAGTTGTCTGACTTAATTTGAGTGTCAAGCGGAGAAAACCCAAGGGAACATGAAAGAAACTAACGCTTGTTTTCCACCAGCCTTTGGATAAAACCAGAGAATCAATTTCTCGAGCACTTTAAACCTCAGTATTTTCCATTCGCTGTTCCCGTCTGGTGTTCATCTGCCCTTATATAACACTGGTGGATGAACAACAGACTTTAAAACTGTACTTTTGTATTTCAATTTTATGCATCCTTTGGGTTTTCCTTGAATAATAAAACTATTGACTTCTTTCCCCCCCAAAAAACAGTGTTTAATGTTGCAAAAATTTCTATTTTAGTAATTTCCTGAAATTATTGTTTTCAACACTGATGATAATCATAACTGTTTCTTGATCATCAGATCCTCATTTAAGAGTGATTTCTGGAGGATCATGTGACACTGAAGACTGGAGTAATGATGATAAATTCAGCTTTGATCACAGCAATAAATTACACTTTACTGTATATGATATAATATTTCACAATATTACTGTTTTTTTCTATTTTTAATCAAATAAACGCAGCCTTGGTGAGCAGAAGAGACTTCTTTTAAAAACATTAAAAACTCTTACAGATCCAAAACCTTTGACTGGTATTAGTACACGTATTATTTGATGTTTGGTAGGTGTGTAGCACTTCAGTGTAATTATTGAGTGAGTTTCTCCTAAAACACACTTGGGGAATGCAAGGGTTTATTTGGATTTTAATGAACTGACAAAAACACATATGAATTTATATGCATGTACACATTCAAGAAGGACCAAAGAACCCAAGACTCGGAAGGGGAGAAAGAATGCACACTGCCTGCTCAGCGAAACTCAAAAGAGGAACTAAGAGTCGCATGACTATTGTTCGCATGACTATTGTGTTGCAAGTGTATCCGTTACTATTGTGTTGCAAGTGTATGGAAAAACCCAGATGGTCTGAGAGATTGGGTCACACAGCCAGTATAAATAAGGCTGCTTTTTCAGTGTTAGTTGTTGCATCTTGCTAGAAGATTTTTGCGTGCATCCTCGAAGGTAATCATTCTTCGATCCAGCTTGCTGGAACATATATTGCTTTAACTGCTTAGCTGTATGATGATAACTTGACCTGCTCATAGAAAGACAAGGTTAGTTATTCATTTGATATTTGAACTGTGTATGTTAAGAAAAACTTTGTGACTGAACCACTTATACAGGACTGCCCTGTTAAGTTGGGAGAAACTGAGGTATTATAATCTGTAACCTTTTCTTTTGTTGCTACTATTAACAATCATTGTGTAACCAGTGTTATTATCGTTTGTATAAATAAATTTTCATTTTATAAAGATAAAAGTTGAATAGTTCTTTGCCTCGGGTCACAATACCAGTTCTATAAGCAATAGTAAGAGCATTAGAGCTACCCTTGCTAGGGCAAGAGGTCACCAGGACTCCACGGAAGCATCTCCACGGAGGGTGAGTATGAATTGCATTGATGGTTGTTGCTAGTAATAATGTATTGGTTCACAAGAGTGTAGGGATACACCTAGATTTACTGGTATAGGTTAAGCGAGCTATAAGGAACGTTTATCCAGAAATTCTGACCTGACAGCAAAAGGCACCTGGCCACTTCGATACCAGGCGCTCTTCAGGGCTGAGGTAATACCAGATCTCACCACATGGGGGCTCGTCCGGGATCAATTATTATCAATTTAATAATTTGAATCCGAGTGAACAATAATTATTAAAACACCATCAAAATCCGCTAAACAGTGTCTCCAGAGTTAAAGGAGAAGGTTACCGAGAGTAACTGTGTCTCCTTAGTGCAAAGAGGAAGTCACTGAGAGGGTGCTTCCTCATATTAACTGTAAAAAATCTTCAGGGACGCCTGAGAGATAAATTATATGGTTAAGCACTAAAAGGGGTAATTGATCCAGAGGACTGCGCAGAGGGACCACACGAGTACCCAATATATATAACCTCGAAGAAGGATAATTACCAGAACTCTCGAAAGGCAGACACACAGTCATGGACAAGATAACTCATATTGCTTTACTCCCACCAGATAAATTTAGCAAGCGCTTGAAAGACGCAGGGCTAAAAGAAACTGAGGAACTCATAGCTACCGAGTGTACTTTGTATACACCTACCGTCGACGGATTACGAAGGTTAGTCCAAACCGTTGGCGAACAAACTCGAAGTGATAAGATCACTGTAGAAGTAGGGGACCATGATGTCACAATACCGTTAGTTCCGGGTAAAGAAATCCAGGTAACTAGAGACGGGATCCCCGACCAACGGGCTCGAGGCTCGGCTGGATCGCCGTCCCCCTCAGCGCATACTGACCGGGAAGAGCCAGCCGAGAGCGTCTATAGCCGCTTGGAAAGGGCAGGCGCTAGAGCAGCGATAGGGTCGGGGGCGATACCTAAACATGCGAACTTTATCACCGGTTTCTCTCCCGCGAATTGGGAAGAAGAAACATGGGGGGAAAAGAATTCCGTGTTTAAACCGCGTCAGACTTCCACCGAGAAAAAAGATAAATACGGAAAACTGGTGCAGGAAGACTCCAGTGATAGCTCGAGTACGTGCTACAGCGAAGATGAGATGTTGCCTAAACGAAAGAAAGTTAATTATAAGCGCTCAAAGAGTCTGTCGCGTGAGAGGCGAAGTAGCTCGGGTCAAAGGGAACATGAAAATCTCGGGGGTAGAACATTTTTAACCTGCCCGGGTCTAGTGTTAGATTCGCAAGATCCGCAGTGGTCAGCCCTTACAGAAGTGCAGCAGAAAGTAGTCAGACTGGCCGTGGGGCCGACCTCGGATGAAATCTTAGACATGCCAGGAACTAGTTTCAAGGCTAAAATAGATATGCTGGCCGAACAGCTGGATTGTATGCAAAAATCATTATGCTACTTGCTGTTAGATGGTCATAAGCCGGCCAAGCAAGAGCCAACCGTAAATGACGTGAGAAAAATGAGGGAGACAACTTATAGGGAACCGGAATCTAATAGAGACAAGAATAAGAGCAAAAAGGAAAAAGCTCAACAGAGAGATGGCTCCGCTAAAATAGTTGCCAGGGAAAGCTTCGAAAAATCCCGTGGTAGGGAAACACATAGGCAAGTTGTAAAATATGAAGAGGAATCTTCAAACTCGCAGTCCGAGTATGACTATTTGACCTCTGACACGGAGGGGGATTGCGGGGGTGAAGAAAAGGTATTACCCTTGAAACAAGGAGTAGATTTATCTCTCACCGCGGCTCTGGCAAGACAAAAAAGGGAAAAGAGGAAGTCAGATAGAAATGAGGAAGACGTTAGTCTGAAGCCTAGGCGGGGACCACCGAGACAAGCCAAAGGCGACAGAGTGTCCGCAATTCAGTTACTGCAAAACATGAGATTCCAAGGTGCCAAAGATAGCATGCAGAAGGCAAGAATGATAGCAGCTCTAGGAAAGACGCTGAATGCATCCACTGCCTTAATAGAGCAGATGATCCGACACCACACTGGGATATCGTTGAAGTTGCAGATAATAGAATCCCATTACGATCATGTGATAGGGAAAAATGAAAAAGCGGAAATAAGAGATGAGTTAGAGGTAGTAAAAACTGTAGGCTTATGGGCATACCTTTCTGAGAAAGCCGACAAGGGCTGGACGGAAGAAGAGGTACTGGCGCAATTAAAACAGCTGGCTCCTGAGCTGCCAGGCTGTAGAGAAATCACTCGCTGGGGGGCAGAAACTGATTGGTCTGAAATATCTAAATTCGCAGTGCGGTACGATAGAGACACTGTAAGAATACGGGAGGAAAGATCAGGCCGAAGTAGAAGCCGACCGCTAGAGGGGGTTAGAATAAAGCCAATAACTGACTTCAAACCTAACCAGAGTAGGTCTAGTAATGATGACAGAGTGAAGCCAGTCAGGAGAGAGCCCTCAAAGAATCGCGCTTACCAAAAACCTAAGCACCAGCCCAGACAAGAACAGAGAAACAAGAGTGAGCAAAAAAATGGCTATATAGACTCTGAAACATGGGCAAAAATGACAGATGAACAAAGGAAGGCGCAGAGGGAGAGGCGTCGCGGAAGAGAGGCGCGGAAACCAGGGCGCGCAACAGCGGTCAGAACTAATAAGTCCGCTAGAGCTAGTCACCAATAGGACAGAAAGGCTCCAGGAAAAGCGACCATTGCTTCTGATCTAGTTGAGGAGACAGAAGAACAGGATTTGTTTATTAATTATAAGGGGATTAAGTTCCGTCTCGATACCGGAGCGGAAATAACATCAATCACCGAGCTGCCTCCCGGGGCTGAGAAGCTAAGTGGGCAATATAGGGTATATGGTTTTAGTGATGAAATGAAACCAGTGACTAGAGATAGATATTACTGGGAGGGAATACACTGTATTATAGACAGCTCGAATTTAATGAGTCTTAAAGATGCGATCTATGTTAAGGAGTTGAACGATAGGAATCCTGATAATGATAAACGAATCAGATGGCTGAAAACGGTCGACCTGGAGCACGAGATAAATAGACTCGTAAAAGAGACTCTATTACCCAAAAATGAGTTGAGGAAATTACTAGAGAAGTATAGGAATAGTTTTGCAAAGAGCAAAAATGATTGTGGAAAATTAGATGATAAATACGAGTACACCATATTAGGGGGAATCCCCGCGCCGCAGAGACAGTATCCGCTGAATAAAGCCGCTTATCCGGAAATAAGAGGGACGTTGAATGAATTATTGCGCAAAGGGATCATAAGTGTGGGGGAGAATTGTCCAACGAATGCCCCTATACAGGCGGTAATAAAAATTGATGGCTCGTACCGTTTGGTGTGTAATTTTAAGGCGCTGAATAGACTAACGGTGCCAGACACCAGATATTTGATCAATGCTAGGGATGCGACAAACTGTTTGGATGACGGCAAGATATTGTCAAAAATTGACTTAGCTAATGGATTCTGGTCGGTGCCTCTAGCAAAGGATAGCCGGGCAAGGACCGCTTTCACTTTCGAGGGAAAGCAATATGTTTTTAATCGATTACCTATGGGATTTTGCAATGCGCCTAACGCCTTCCAGGCAATAATCCTGGAAATATTGGAAGGACTGCCCGTTACGGCTTACATTGACGATGTATTGATAGCTACGCAAACCACGGAGGAACACATGAGAGTCCTGTCCGAAACTATTAGGAAATTGGCGGACGCTGGTTTTCTGCTGAACTTGAAAAAACTAGAATTAGGAAAGGAGAATGTCAATTTCTTAGGATTTGAAATTTCGGGGGCCGAAAGGGGCATAGCAAAATCGACGCAAGAAAAATTAGAAGAGTTGAAAAAGGAACGAATCACAAATTTGAGGCAGCTACAGAGCCTGCTGGGGAGATTAAATTTCGTGCGAGACCTGATCCCAGGGTATAGCGCCAAGGCTAAAATACTGTACAAAGCAACGGCAGGTGTAACCCCCTTTTCTGGTTCATTCTTTCGACCCTCCCGGAAAGGACCACACGGAGACAGAGTCGAGACGATTCAACATCCATCAAGTGTTTACTGGAGATATGTGAAATAACACCATACAGACTTGAAATACAGCTCATCCGGTCACATAACATTCTCCTCAACAGCTCGCATAAACTCTTTCATTAATTCAACAAACAATAAATCACGTTTTTATCGCAATTAAAAGCTCAGTTTCTTTTCTTTCTTTTCTCTAAACAAAGAAAACAGTACATCATACCTGGAGATATGTGAAATAACACCATACAGACTTGAAATACAGCTCATCCGGTCACATAACTGTCAAAAATAAATATAAAGTAAATCACATGTGCTTAAAAGAGAAACAAAGTCATCACTGACAACTTTTATTTCTGTTTGACCGGAGAGAGATTTTCCACCTACCATTCTCCTCAACAGCTCGCATAAACTGAAGAGAAAATGGCGGATAGCACTAATAGGTACTCGCCTGTAGGTGTCCCCATCCCCTTTTCTTAGATGCACTTGGTACATTATAGAACATGAACAAACATTTTGGCATAATTCATTACAAATTTCTTTTATCCGTTACATTCTCCCCCACTGAATTTGCCAAAATGGAACAAAAAAACAAAACAACCAAAATCGGTTTACTCTTTTCTTTACCTTTTTCCTTCTGAAAACAGACATAAACCAGAATTGCCATACTTAGCACATTGCTTTTGATCAGTTACAACTGTTCATATAAAGAACTGACAGGAAAAAGTGCTGCGCATATCACTTTTCCTTGATCATGACCCAAATGAAATGCCTTTTACATTTCACTTTAGCATTTCCTATTCACACACAAATGAACACAATACATTGAAGTTAACGCTTCATTATTTCAGACTAAGGACCGAAACAGACCATTTACCCAGGATTTGCTTTCTAGTGTGAAACAAAGTGTGCTGATTCATTGAAGAGATAAGACGATTCACTGGTTTCAACAATCTGCCAAACTTTGACCTACGACCCTGTAACGTATCAGCAGTACCAGGGTTAGGATCATGGGCACTACTGTTTTCAGGACTGTCCTGTAAGGCCTGGCAGTCTGGAGCATAATTTCCAAGAACCACTCTTTGCGATGGAACATCAACAACTTCAGCTGAGTCGTGATCACTGCATGACTCGGTTATCTGCGGATCACCGTTAGCCGCAACTGAGCCTTCATCTTCAGGCATCGAATCGTCAGAAGATACAGAACAATTATCAGATGCACCATCCTCTACAGAAAATACACTCTCATCATCATTTTTTCCCACAATGTCACACAAAGGGAGGAAATTCACACACAAAAGGAGGTTTCTGTGTACCACCTTCAACTGACCAGATACAGGGTGCTTAACTTTGAAAATGTGAGTGTTAGGATCACAATCAACCACAGTATATACCACATTTTCCCACTTGTCTGACAGTTTGCGCTTTCCACGTTCACTTTTGTTGGCTAATAGGACCCTGTCGCCAACTTCAATTCTCACTCCCTTATTTTTGCGGTTGTACATGTGGGCTTGATGAGACTGTTCTTTTGATGTGTTAGCTTCCGCTACAGTAAGAGCATCCTTCAAATCCCTCCTCAGAGACTCTACATACTTGGGAAGAGAGTTACTAGAGTCATCCCACAGCACATTCTTGAAAACAACATCAATTGGCAGTCGTGGGGTACGGCCAAACATTAGGTAGAAGGGAGGAAACCCCGTAGTCTCGTGCACAGTGCAGTTGTACACAAATGTTAATGTATGGAGCATTCGAGGCCAATCTTGCTTTTGGCGTGGTTCAAGGGCTCTGATCATATTTCCTAACGTCCGATTAAATCTTTCTGTGATTCCGTTGCCCATCGGATGATATGGTGTTGTGCGTGACTTCTTGACACCAGAAAACTCAAGCAAATGACTAATGAGCTCACTACAGAAATTCGCCCCCTGATCAGAATGAATGCGTTCCGGGAAACCATAGTAACAAAAATAGTTGTCCCAGAGCTGCTTTGCCACCGACTTAGCTGACTGGTCTGGACAACGAAAAGCATGGGCCAGCTTGGTAAAATGGTCTGTTACCACTAAAACATCAACTGACCTATTCTGACAATCCTCTGCCGTCCAAAAATCAATGCAGACTAACTCAAGAGGAGCAGAAGTCCTGACACTCTCCAATAGAGCTCGACCCTCCGGCTCTGGTGTCTTCGCCAGAACACAACGACCGCATACTTTCACATAGTCACGAGTATCACGTTCCATGTCAGTCCAGTAGAAACGTTGACGAGACAGTTGGAAAGTGCGATACTGGCCTTGGTGTCCAGCCTCATCGTGACATCCTCTCATCACGTCACCTTTCAGGGAAGAAGGTACCACGAACTGAAATCTTCTGTGACGTGTCAAGGGATCTTTTGAAACGCGATACAAGACACCATCGTTCAGTAACAACTTCTCCCACTGTTTCATAAACTTTCGTACAGCGCTGGGGTCCCCCATGCGCTCACGTCTCGAAGGCCTGCGTTTTCGGTCAACGTAGTACATCACTCTCTGCAAATGTTCATCCTCAATCTGTTTCTTTCTCAACTCCTGGCGTGAGTAAGAAGGAAGGGCATCAAACCCAACATCTGCGATTTGTTGGACAATTTCAGTCAGAGGAGTGGCCCATGTTCGTGCGTTATCGTCCCAAGAAAGGTGATTAGAAAAGATAGCAGACACTTCGGCACTCGAAAAGCTCCCTGGCACGTCATCTGGATTGACACCTGACTGCTCACAAATGCCCGCTGGGCTCTTTGTCCTGTCAACCACTTGCTGACTGGCGCTGGACAACCGGAAAACATCCTGTACAGCAGCACTGGTATGATCTCTTGACTCCGCTAACAATACATCATAGGGTTCTCTTACTAAGCGGTGACTAACATGACCGTCAGCAAAAGGTTGCCTGCTCAAGGCGTCAGCTATTAAGTTCTTTGGTCCGGGAACATATTTGATGTCAAACTCAAAGGCAGCGAGTTTAGCCACCCATCTTTGTTCACAGGCGTCAAGCCTAGGTTTGGTCAAAATATGCGTCAGAGGATTGTTATCGGTCCAGGCTGTGAACTGATGTCCTTTTAGCCAGTGGCTAAATTTATCGCATACAGCCCACTTGAGGGCAAGGAATTCAAGGCGGTGTGCTGGATATCTGGATTGCGCTCGGGACAGTGACTTACTCGCAAATGCAATGGGTCGAGCCCTGCTTTCTCCAGGACTCAGTTGCGAGAGCACGGCCCCCAATCCCTCAGACGAAGCGTCAGTGGCAAGAATAAAAGGTCTGGAAAAGTCAGGATGGGCAAGGACAACATTGGACAAGAGGGCTTCCTTTAATGCAGTCAAAGCCGCTTCACAAGCTGGAGACCATTCATCACTGGTGAGTTTTCTGGACGCTGGGATCCCTCTGCGGCCAACACCTCTAGTTTTCTTAACTCCGCTAGTTAGGGCAAAAAGCGGCCGTGCAATTGAAGAACAATTCTCGATGAAGCGTTGGTACCACATAACGAGACCAAGAAAAGATTGGATTTTCTTAACCGACGGGGTGACACCATCTGGGCACATCAAATCCGCAGAAGTAATTTTAGTAATCGCTTCAACTTTTCCGGGGTCCGTAGACACGCCTTCTTCTGAAATCAAATGACCAAGGAATTTCACAGAGCGTCTTAAGAAGTGGCATTTCTTCGGCGACAATTTCAAATTGTGCTTCTTCAGCATTTCAAAAACAGTTTGAAGTCTCTGCAATGCAACTTCTTCATTAGGCGCGAAGACCATTAAATCATCCAGGTAGCATAACAGTGACAAAAAATTCTGTTCACCAAAGATCTTAGTCATCATGCGCATAAAGCTTGCGGGTGAGTTACAGAGGCCTTGTGGGAGCCTATTGTATTCATGTAGCCCAACTGGTGTTGTGAACGCTGTATATTTTTTGTCGTCCTCATGTAACGGGATATTATAAAATCCTGAGGTTAAATCCATTGTGCTAAACAACGAGTTGCCACCTAATGCTGCAAGACAGTCTTCTTGATGGGGTAGGGGGTGCGCGTCTTTCACGGTTCGCGCATTAAGCCAGCGAAAATCAGTACATATGCGAAGATCGCCATCTTTTTTCCAGCACAGAACCAGAGGTGATGCGAATTCGCTGACTGACTTACGGATTATACCTCTCTCCTCCATCTCGTTCAAAGCAACACGTAACTTCTGGTATTGTGAAGGGGGGACTCGTCTATATGGTAAGCGAAAGGGCCTTTCGTCGAACAGATGGATTCTGTGTACAAAGTCCTTGACTTCACCGCAATCAAGAGAATGTCTGGAAAAGATAGACTCATACTCGAGCAGTAAGTCACACAGTTTCGCCTTCCACAATTTAGAAACTTCACAATTTTCCAAATCAACAGTCTCCAATCCACACTTTCGCAGCCTGTCGGCCAATGTATCAGACTTGTCCGACTCAGCAACTGACTGCTGAATGCTTGAACGAATTGGAAGCTCAGGCTTAGTTTCGCACACATCCTCCAATGCAATACAGGGGTAAACGTCAGCCACTTTGGCGTTTCGCCTCACCGTTACTGGCTTGTCGCTAGGGTTGATCAGCTTAAGGGGAATCCAGCCGTCGCCCCAAAGTGGAGTGACAATACGACACACTAGAACATTCTTGGGGGCAGAACGGAGTCTAGATGGTTCCACCATGACGGTGCTGCCCGGTTGGCTACAGGACTTACTGGGTAGTTTACCCCAGACAAGATGCTCTTGGCCAGGCGAAAGTGTAACTGCATGTTGTAGTTTAACTGTACCAACAACGTCAGGAATCGTTCCGCCCTTCCATCGACATACACCAGCCATCATAGACAAGAACTCGTCGCTTTCAAGGTTAGTTTCGCTGGGCGTAGAAATCAATTCCCAATATCTGTCAGAATCTTTCAGCCTGTGAACAAGATGTTTGATAACGTTTGTCCCCAAAATGAGATCATCTCCTTGGCCTGGAACAACGAGACATGGAACAATAAGGTTACAGCCGTAAACGTCCAGCTTAAGCTCAAGCGTGCACTTTGGAAATACTCGTTTGCCACCGCACCCAACTAAGACGATGTTAGTATCTTCTTCATTAACATTATCCAAAGCACCACGTTCTCTCAGTTTACTGACGACTGAATCATTTAATGTACAGGCCATAGAGCCGGTGTCCAGCATTGCACTCACGGTGATAGAATCATTAATACAAACAGGTGTGTAGAAGAGCGTATCTGAGCATTCAAGGCGTTGTATATTTTGAAAGACGACTTTCTGGGAATCAGGACATATGTTCTTAAAGGAACTGAACAAAGCTTCGAAATCAGTATCTGCTCCGAGGGAATTTTCAAGGTCACCCACACCCCCCCTCTCCGGATGTGAGCGTGTCAGTTTCCCTGACTATTAGGCGCTGTTGGTGCAGAGGCTGAATTTGGGAATTTAGCAGTGCAGTCACGTTTTGAGTGGCCGGCGCCATGACATCTAAAACACAAATGATCAGATCTGCAGTGATCGAAAGTAGTATGCGTTGTGTCGCCACAAATCTTACAGTTCCTTGGTTCAGCTGCGTTCCTTCTGTGCAATCTCCCAGAAGACATAAACTCAGGTCTACTCTTCTCCTTTGTCTTCAACACCTCGATCAACTGAGCTAGCATGTCAGCCATCCGATTCAGACTAGATTGATCCTTCACGTCCTCCTTAGATTCACCAGGCCCGTTGGTCCCCTGCTTCAGACACATTAATGCAGACTCCGAGACAACATTAGAATTTCCACAGCTCTGTGTGGTCATTTGTGCATTATGGCAGACTGGGTAGGCGTTTGGGTTCGGTCTTAGTTTAAGCTCACGTTGGAAACTGTCTAAAAGCTCCTGAACATCTTTCGCAGTCCAGCATTCTAGTGGCCGCACTTTAAAAGTGCGTGCTAAATCAGGGTCTGGGCAGTTTCTCACAAACATCATTGCAACTTCAGAATTCAAATTGTCCATTCTTCTGCCCTGCCCCCTGAGACACTCGTCAGCTATATCCGCTGCCTTATTAAGGCGAAGCCAGTAGTCAAAAGGATTCTCGCCTTGTTTAGGCAATGTACTGTAAAAGTCCGCGAGTGGCATACTAGAGTAGGAGACTTCACTGAAATGTTGCTTAAGTATACTGTAAATAATCTCAGGATGATTTGTGCAGTCAAGAGCAGGGTTGCTGCGTAGGGCTACTTTCACAATGTCCTTGGCCCTGCCCATTAGATGACTAATAATCTCATTAGCCTGATCAGTAATTTTGACATTTCTCTTTCGCAGGTAGACTTGCATCATATCAATCCATTCTTGAATGTCACATCTGCCCAAACCATCCCCCCTAAACACTGGCGGGTCTTTTTCATCTGATTCCAGAATGACATTCAACTGTGACAAATCAAGATTAGCACATTGAGAGCCTGTGTTGTTATTACCATTATTGGCTCTGGTAAAATCACCCCCTGACAAAAGTTTGGCTGTTACTGAGTCACCGATCTGTCTGCCCAACTCTTTGACTAAATCTCCTAATTCGCTGATATCTCGATCACTAGAACTTCCCACAATCTGTGGCTTTGGGGTAGAAGTAACAGGGAAAGTTTTGTTTACATCATGAGCTCTGTAATTTCCCTTAGTACCATCAGGAATGTGAGTCTTATAGCCGAATTCACTCGAACCCGGCTTGGTGTCAGAAAACTGCATCAGGTATTTACCCCGTCCAGTCCCAAAAAAAGAATTGTCTGCACCACCCTCAGCCATTTTTACAATTGTAAAATACTCTGAATTTTCTAAAAGCTAAAATCAAAAGTCAGATTAATCAACCAAAAATGTTTTTTTTTTAAACACTTCACTTATCTGCAGTCCAATGTCATTTATCTTTCTGTTCGAAAGTCCCTCGAAGAGAAGAAGAGAGAGAAAAAAAAAAGTCTTTAACCGGAGAATCTGGCAACCACAGTCCACCTGATCAGATTGCGCGCGCGCGCGACGTCCTCGCTGCACTCCGCGGTAGGCCTTGTTGTCGTCCTTCCGGAGATCGGCTGCTTTGCGTGGATCACAAACGGGAATCACGGCACCATTGTAACCCCCTTTTCTGGTTCATTCTTTCGACCCTCCCGGAAAGGACCACACGGAGACAGAGTCGAGACGATTCAACATCCATCAAGTGTTTACTGGAGATATGTGAAATAACACCATACAGACTTGAAATACAGCTCATCCGGTCACATAACATTCTCCTCAACAGCTCGCATAAACTCTTTCATTAATTCAACAAACAATAAATCACGTTTTTATCGCAATTAAAAGCTCAGTTTCTTTTCTTTCTTTTCTCTAAACAAAGAAAACAGTACATCATACCTGGAGATATGTGAAATAACACCATACAGACTTGAAATACAGCTCATCCGGTCACATAACTGTCAAAAATAAATATAAAGTAAATCACATGTGCTTAAAAGAGAAACAAAGTCATCACTGACAACTTTTATTTCTGTTTGACCGGAGAGAGATTTTCCACCTACCATTCTCCTCAACAGCTCGCATAAACTGAAGAGAAAATGGCGGATAGCACTAATAGGTACTCGCCTGTAGGTGTCCCCATCCCCTTTTCTTAGATGCACTTGGTACATTATAGAACATGAACAAACATTTTGGCATAATTCATTACAAATTTCTTTTATCCGTTACACAGGGAAAGACTTTCATTGGGATGATAGATTGGAAAGTATCAAGTGCGATATTATTAACATGGCTTTGGCCTCGGGGCGAATTGTCCGGAGGAACCCTGACAAAAACCTCAGGGTTAAGATTGATAATACCCCCGAGGAAATGGAATTGATATTATATAACGAAGGGGATACAAAATCCCCAGTTATGTTCATTTCGCACGAGAAACCCGCTAACCATAAGAAGCATGAGAATATGTCACCTGTTGATATTCTAGCCACAATTGCTAGGAATCTGCTCGTTATTAAGGCATTGGCGGCTGAAAAGTTGATTATTATAGTTGCTAAAGGGGAGGGGATCGACCTCTTGGCAAGGGAAGCAAAAAACTTGGTCAATGAGAATAAGCGCGTGCATGTTTTCACCTGGTCGAAGTGGATAAAAATAATTGATGATAACCAATTTGAGTTTAGGAATGAGAAAAGTCCGAAAAAGGACAGGAGGACCGTAATAGATCCGGAACAGATTTGCTACTTCACGGACGGTAGTTCGGAGAAGGGAGAAACCTGGTGGGGATTTATGGTCAAATTGAAAGGAAAAATTATTCACAAAGAAAAGGGCAGATTAGATAATGACAAAAGCGCGCAGGAAGCTGAGGTTACAGCGGTTGCGAAGGCAATAATGCACATGAGGGACAACAATCGTAAAAAATGCGTATTAGTCACCGATAGTGAATACGTGTATTTGGGCATTGTTCAAAACCTGTCCACATGGGAACAGAATAATTTTAATAATGCTAAAGGTAAACCACTGGCGCAGGTGGAATTGTGGAAAGTCATTAGTGAATGTGCCAAGGTAGTGCAACCGAGAGTGTTGCACCAGTCCAGTCATACGGTCCAGAAAACTCCAGCAGCTGTGGGAAACAGGGAGGTGGATCAGTATGTGCGCGTGAGGGCGATTACTAAAGAGAGTGAGGGGAACCTACTCCAAGAGCTGCACGATAAGCTTAATCATCCGTCCACGACGTATGTTGCGAAATATTGTAAGCAGCTGGGACTGCATGTGCAAAATCTAAAGACCAGCTATCAGAAAATTAAAATAAAGTGTCCTGATTGCAGAAAAGTGATGTCCAGTGTGCATCACGATTTTGGGCACATTAAGACGGAAAAAGAGCACTTGCTGGTTGGGATTATTTTGTTTTGTTTATTTTGTTTTTGTCATAAATTGTTTTCATGATGATTTTTGGTTTCAATAATTTTGGAGATATTTTGATCAATAGAACAGTGACGGGAAGAAAAAAAAAAAAAAAAAAAAAAAACCAGATTATTGTCACTGACGGAACATGTTAAGTTCGCCAATTTGTTGAGTTTGCAAATTGTTTTCTAAATGATACTTGAAATGAACGAAATGATGAGCAATTTTGTTTTGTTAACAATGTTTTCATTTTCTTTTGAACTACATCATTTCATGTATAAGTAGGGTGATGCATTTGGAAATTTTAATTTATGGTGACCAGTCAAGTCATGGGGTTGCTGCGTTCAGGAAGGGCCCCCTGGGGGGCAGCAACTGACCAATGACAGTTTGATTGTCGGGGTCATTGTTGAAAGGACTAGGAACACAGAGAAAAAAAAAAAAAAACATAGAAAGTTCGTTTGGTTTGTTTGGGGTTGAAGAAACGGATTTTGTTTTTTGGTTTTTGTTTTTTATACAATGTTGGTATTTTTGTTTGAACTACCTCATTCATGACATGGTTTATTTACTGTATGTTATCATACTATAGGTCCCTGCTGACTGGAGGAGGGCGACGCAACTTGGGCATTTTTTAATTTGTGAAGAATGTTTTGATGTGTTCAAGAGTTATAGTATGAGAATTGAAGCATATAAACTAGAGTGTAAAGACGTTAGAGTTTATTGTCCAGAATGTGTGATGAAACTGGGTTTTAGCATGAGACAAATGACTCGCATTTGCTTTGACAGGCATGGGACACGGAGTGGAAGTCCTGGCAACACTCATAATTTTACATATGGGGAAATGAGATTTTTCCTTGACATGAAATGGAAAGTCATCGAATTAGATGATGGATTCGAACGTTTGTTTAGTCTGGGGGAGCAAATATTTCAGAATACCTGCTGTGTTAACATTCAGACCTATCCAAGAAGACACAAGGAAGTCCTGGGCTTTTGCACAAAACAGGCGCGTATTAATGGCCGAATTGTCTGTGTGCTTGTCCTCGATCCCAATGTAGATCTGCCTGGAGCGTCTGACACAGGTTCGATGGGAACCAAGAGTGCTGAACGAGGGCATAGCAGCCAGGGGAAGCGAACTGGCCTTGGCCCTGGCAGATCTGGTGACGATGGACCAGGCCCCAAGAGAAAAGGACTCATTCCGGTGGATGCCGGTGGACCGGCGTTGGTATCGACAAACGATGGGCTGTCTGTTGGCACAGTACGGAAGGCTGATAATTGGCTTCTTCCAAAGAGAGTCTGAGTTAAGATATAGGTTTTATGAGTGTTGTTTGGATTTTGTGGTGCCCACTGTCTATGTTTATAATGTTAAACTTGATGAACTTGATATAATTTATCCGGGAAATTGTATTAAAGGTGTTTCTGCCACTCCAAGAGGGGGTGCAAGGGTTTATTTGGATTTTAATGAACTGACAAAAACACATATGAATTTATATGCATGTACACATTCAAGAAGGACCAAAGAACCCAAGACTCGGAAGGGGAGAAAGAATGCACACTGCCTGCTCAGCGAAACTCAAAAGAGGAACTAAGAGTCGCATGACTATTGTTCGCATGACTATTGTGTTGCAAGTGTATCCGTTACTATTGTGTTGCAAGTGTATGGAAAAACCCAGATGGTCTGAGAGATTGGGTCACACAGCCAGTATAAATAAGGCTGCTTTTTCAGTGTTAGTTGTTGCATCTTGCTAGAAGATTTTTGCGTGCATCCTCGAAGGTAATCATTCTTCGATCCAGCTTGCTGGAACATATATTGCTTTAACTGCTTAGCTGTATGATGATAACTTGACCTGCTCATAGAAAGACAAGGTTAGTTATTCATTTGATATTTGAACTGTGTATGTTAAGAAAAACTTTGTGACTGAACCACTTATACAGGACTGCCCTGTTAAGTTGGGAGAAACTGAGGTATTATAATCTGTAACCTTTTCTTTTGTTGCTACTATTAACAATCATTGTGTAACCAGTGTTATTATCGTTTGTATAAATAAATTTTCATTTTATAAAGATAAAAGTTGAATAGTTCTTTGCCTCGGGTCACAATACCAGTTCTATAAGCAATAGTAAGAGCATTAGAGCTACCCTTGCTAGGGCAAGAGGTCACCAGGACTCCACGGAAGCATCTCCACGGAGGGTGAGTATGAATTGCATTGATGGTTGTTGCTAGTAATAATGTATTGGTTCACAAGAGTGTAGGGATACACCTAGATTTACTGGTATAGGTTAAGCGAGCTATAAGGAACGTTTATCCAGAAATTCTGACCTGACAGCAAAAGGCACCTGGCCACTTCGATACCAGGCGCTCTTCAGGGCTGAGGTAATACCAGATCTCACCACAGGAAACAGGCTAGTTTTGATCAGGAGTGTTTGGGAAGCGCCCTCTAGTGTTCACCCCAGTAACTGCAGTAAACCCAAACACAGCAGGAGAGATGAGGTCCTGAAATTATACGCTTCAAACATCTCTATATGTGCACAGCATACATATATACACCTTTACTATATATTGAATAGATTTAAAAAAAAAATAAAAAATACTTTCACCTACTTTAGCCACTATGGTATGCATTATCTTTTAACCATCAAATATTTTTTTTTCATAAGTTGTTAATATTAACTTATTTGATAGATTTGTGTACTATATTTTTTAACCAAAAACAAGTAGATCCCTATCATTATCTGAACTCTTCCTAATGACCTTTCCCAAAATATTGCTGTATTAATTTTCTAATCTGTTATTTATACATGAATACAACTATACTGCCCTACAAAGCCAAAAGGCAGTAACTGCATTTTTGGTCAAAAATGAGTTAATGTCATTTTTGGGATATTAAAGACCTCCTTTATCATGTGGATAAATATCTATACTCAATTTGACTGTTTTTTCGAAAAAATAGAGGGTTGTGTTCACAGTAACTCCCAAAACCATACAAGCAACCATGGCAGAAAGCAGTAACTGCAGTTACCCTTCTTTGGCTTTGATCTTCGACGCAAAAGTCCAGTTCCGCCTTTGTTATGCCATTCATAAAAGAGATGTTACGGTGCCACCTTGCAGTTACGATGATCTGCCTTTGTTTTACTGTCCATAAAAATTTGCCGCGCTTCAGTTACTGTCCATGTATTGTCACTAAATCACTTACTTCTATAACACACAAATATCCAAATAAAAAACGAGCTGTCAAATGTGTTAAGTGGTCGTTTTATCAAGTGTTGAACTACTGTAAGAATGGCAAATTGCTCTCGAGGGAGAATGATGGTGGAGTTGGCGTTGAAAAGAAGACATGAAGACCAAGGTAATAAATTATCTTATAAAATAATGCATTAGATGAAGTATGAAAGTGCCATATACTTAACGTTAATTTTGAATTGCTAGGACAAGCAACTGACGAAGAAGCTAACTAGTCTACTTATTAGCCAGCACACCAACACCAACCAAAACATCAATAGATACCTAGACAGCATGACATCTAATACTTAAATAATTAAAAATCACTCAGCAATCCATTCTGTGCCGACAATCCAGAGATGCAGACATTGCAGGAATGTAGCCTATTCAATGTTGACATGTTAGCCCCAGCCTAGCTATCATGCTACACATTACTTCACAGCGGCAGTAGCCTGCTAACACATACTGCACGGTGGCAATAAACAATCATTTCCTACATTTTCTTGTAACTCCATAAAATCCATTGCAATACACGTCATCTACGATGTTTCCACAATCCTCAAAGGTTTTGAACATATAGTCCGTGTCCCTTGCTGGTATTCAGACCAAGCTATCCACAAGTTATCTAGGCTAGTTTCAAAGCGTCTTCTGTAATTAAGCGTCATTTAGCGTTAGTGAAACAGCATAAAGTGTATTTGTTGCAAAATATTATCCACGTACACATAAAACTTTTTGTTTGGTCGATTCTCTTCCCAGTAGACTTTAATGAAGGTGATCAGTTAATTATCTTCTAAATGGTGGTAAGCAAATATTGATTATATGTCAGTTACTGCCTTTTGCCTTTGCACGACTCCTTATTTTTTAGTAAATAATACAAAGGCAGAGTACAGTATCTGACAAATAAGGGTAAAAAGTCAACTTTGAGCACAAGATTTTTTATATACACACATTTCTTGATCTGGGCAACAAGTCACCAGATTTTCATTGCTCTACCTATAATACATTTGTGTGGACAAAACAAAAAACTTTAAAGTCATTTTTCTCAGTTTGACACTCTGGTCAGTTACTGCCTTTTGCCTTTGTAGGGCAGTATACTACAATAAACACTTCAATTGTCGCAGTCATACTGTTGAAGAATCACGACATTCACTGTGACGTATTCGTGGAAAATGTCAAGTGACTTAAAAACAGCACGTCATTGGCTACCTTAAGGCCCGCCCTTTTCATTCCCACCGTACAATATATTGTGTTTTTCTCTAAATCACAAGGAATGGTTGATTGGTTGATAGAGCTGAGGTTGACTAGTTACAATACGAACACAAGTTTGCGTGGCTAAACCATTGGATCCAATCGTCTGTTCCTAACAATACTTTTGAACATCTTTGCATCAAATTTAATCCTGTTCATCTCAATGTCCAATGTCAATTGTTTCTTTCTTTTCAGTTCTTTCTTTTTGACTTTGCATCCCTGGAAAACAGCTGATGTGTGTGTGTGTGTGTGTGTGTTTGTACAATAACAACACAAGCTAAATTAAAACCCAAAGTAATAACAGTGACAATGCAGCATTCTTCCAAGATTACTGTAGAAGAAACTCGGAAATGTTTCTGTTTTTCCAAAAATACCCCACAAGCCATTCTTTGAAATATTAAAATCAACAAATAAGCCACCTTCGTATACTATGACTCATAACTAACTTGTACTTCACACTGATTCAAGTCATCAAAGATAATGGCGTCTAGTTTTCCACAAGATACACCGAAAAAGAAGAAATCGTTAAAGGCGTAGTTCACTTTGAAATTAATGTTTGATATGTTTTATCTTACCTCAAGGGCATCCAAGATGTAGGTGTCTTTGTTTCCACAGTATTTTCAATTTTGACATTTTTCAGTCAAACCGTTGTTGTCTATCAGTCATACACTGGAGGCTAAGGGGGTCCACCAAAGAGCAGCACAGAGAAGTCCAAATTAAACATGATTTAATGACTCATAATCAATTAAACATGATTTAATGGCATTTCCTGGACATTTTCTTGCTAACTAATCAAATACTTGAACAGACTACAAGAATTCAGATACCCCAACTTCAGACTTCAGATATGAATATGAGAGAAGCTCCGCCCACTGCATATAAACATGAGTACACGAGTTCTCAGAAATTATCAACCATGAAAACAATTCACTTTTGATATTTGGCTATATTTATTTAGAATCAGATATATGCTACAATTCATCTCATGAATGTGGGAATCTTCAAATAGACATGAATCTGCGAATCTGAAATATATACGTCTAAACTGTTGCTACAAGTTTTTATAACAAAAACATGTGAATTAGCTTTAAATGTAATTATTTTTCATACTCTCATTTCCCAGCTCAGAGGAATCAAACCTGTCCTTTTCCATGAACAGAAATACACCCAGAATGAAATTGTTAAAGATTTCAGCCTGTAAAGAGACGACTTATGCCCTACATTATTACATGATTAACTATAATTAATTATTGATTAATAATGTATTTTTCTATGTACTTTTCTGTAATGCACTTTCTGTAAAGCTGCTTTGAAACAATATGTATTGTGAAAAGCGCTATACAAATAAATTTAAATTGAATTGAACAACTGATCTATCTGTAAAACGCAATCAGAAAGAACTAAATTTTAATTATAAGTATTTAATTTTCAATAAGCAGGAATAATTTTCGACTTTAAACAAATGCCCATTTAAATGCTTAGGATGTTTGCGTTGTAAGACTGTTCAGGGAGACTTTAGATTTTAAGACGGTGTCTCATTATGCAATTTTTTCTTAGTCAAATCATACAATTTCCTATTGATTCAATAGAGCGCGTGAGCTAACTAGGGAATCACAATATGGCGGCGCGGTGGCTTCACTGTTTATGAGCAATCCAGTCATTCTATATAGATCAGTGGGGCCAGCACAGCACTGGTGACCCGTTCCAGTAAGGTTCGACTGGTTCTGTATCTTCACTCCCACCGACTGTTGACCGTACAAACAATGTCCACCTTCAGCTAAAACTCATATAAATAACATTCTGTTCATGTTTAACCTGTCAATACACCGTGATTTGCTAAAGCAGTCCGCGCTCTCGATGAGTGTGTGTGTGTGTGTGTGTGTGTGTCCGTCCTCCGTGAAGTGTTTATGTACCTGATGTGTCAGCAAATTCTCATGAAATCTTTAACAATTTCATTCTGGGTGTATTTCTGTTCATGGAAAAGGACAGGTTTGATTCCTCTGAGCTGGGAAATGAGAGTATGAAAAATAATTACATTTAAAGCTAATTCACATGTTTTTGTTATAAAAACTTGTAGCAACAGTTTAGACGTATATATTTCAGATTCGCAGATTCATGTCTATTTGAAGATTCCCACATTCATGAGACGAATTTTAGCATATATCTGATTCTACATAAATATAGCCAAATATCAAAAGTGAATTGTTTTCATGGTTGATCATTTCTGAGAACTCATGTACTCATGTACTCGTGTTCATACGCAGTGGGCGGAGCTTCTCTCATATTTAGCACAACACAAACTTCTTTCACATATAAAAGCTCTGAAACTCTGTCACGCCACTGAGCGGTGTGTGTCGCGTGCTGTGGCGACCGACGGCATACTATAGTGTGTGTGAGAGATCGGCATCATGGGTGTGGAGGGTAAAGACGAGAGTAAACTGGTGAGTGTTTTCTCTTCTGTGTTTCGCCGTTAGCCCCTGCTGGCAGATGTGGGAACGACACCATCCGTCGGGTGGGTTAGATGAGTACAAGCGTTAAAATGAAGAAGACGTGCTGATAAACAGCATTGCAGCTGCAGAAAATATATTTAATAATAAATGCATATGAAAGAGTAATCTGCAATAAATAAATAAATAAATAAATAAATATCATGAACTAACTTTATCTATTGCCAGACTCCTCTGTATGGAAGGCCATTTCATCCATCATGCTTTGGTAAATTTAAATTATGACATTCCAAGTCATATTTATGAGTTTAAAGTCGAAATTATGATTTATAAAGTCCTCATAATTATGACATACTAAGTTGCGGTAAAAAAAATTATGACGTTACAATTTTGAAATAGTAATGTCATAATAGTAAAAACGAATCCATAATTATGAGATGAAAGATCTACATCATGACATAGTAAATTGAAATTATGATTTAAATGTCATCATTGTTTTTAAAAGTCAACATTCTGACAAGTCATAATTACATTAAAAAAAAGTCAAAATGACGACACTACAATGCGTTGACTTTAAAAGTTAAAATTAGGACTTGCCAAAATATAGGCTGCAACATAAAAAATATTTCTTAGATGAAAAGTCTAAAAAATTACATATTAAGTCATTTATTACATGAAAATGACATGTAACAATGAAATAAAAAGTCAAAATTCCATTATACTAAAGTTGGCAAAAAAGAAAATCATAATTATGACATTACAAAATCGAAATTCTGACTTGAGTCGAAATATAGGCACCAATTAAAACGTTTAAATTATGACATACTGTCACATTGAAAGGCTTAATCATGAGAAAAGTTGATGATGACATGCTGTATTATCAGTCATGAAGTTAAGGATAGATGAGTTCATGTAGAGGATAATACTGAGCGACAACATTAAGATACAGAAGCGAGCTAAAATGGTCAAGCATTTGCACAGATGTTACAGACGCAGGCTTTACTTCTAGAAATATTATAGTCAAAGCTATTATACACTTTGCCACTGACGTAACAGGAGTCATATTAATAATAAGGACAGAGACAACGTCTGTGCTATTATAGGCATACTATTATGTGCTATTATCTGTTTTCTAAAACAAACCCAGATGGTCAATGATAAATTAATGTACATCAATAATCACATTTATGTGCTTTGTAAGTAAAATAAGGCACATTTTAATAATTTAGCCCTACTCTCACAGTCACAGATAGTGCAAAAATATCAAAAAATACCAAGTATAAACACTTAAAACCCATGACTGGATTAAATAGGCTAGTATAACAGCAAATAACAATAAATCACAATTCTCGATGCCAATTTCAAGTAAGTATGTGTCAAATATTAATTACTAACGTTAAGTCTCTTTCGAGGTTTACTGTTAATAGCACACATTGAACCCGCAAACATTACTGTGTGGAATATTTACATCGTCGCCACAATATCGTCATTTCGCTGCAGACCTGTCTCATGTATTTAATTATTTTAAAGGAATAAATCGATATGAAAGATTAATCTGCAAAATAACAACATAAATATCATGGACAAACTTACTTTGTTTACTGACAGACTCTCCTCAGCACAGCCGTGATGACGTGAATGCGTTTCCCGCGCGCGCGTTACGGTGTTAGCGTACAGGCTCAAGCACGCTTACGTACGTTACGTAACCCGAAAATAATTGTGGAGAGATTAAAACGGATTCAGAAAAGGCAGAAGTTGCCGAACAGAAGCTGTTTCTCGGCGAGATTTTAGGTGGGTTCACTTTTTCTCCACAGAAGTGACAAAACAACCACATGATCTGTGAAGATCACCACCTTTATTTCTATAGCGCTTTATAAAGCTAACAGGTAAATAATGATCAATGGTGCAAACAGAGTTCAGATGAGCTTAAATAGTAAAACTGGTTATTTGGTATGAGCCACAGGACACCCTCAAAATACAAAACAAAATGACTCATACATTCATTTATCATGGTAACAATGTAAGTTTTGAGTAAACTCTGGGCATACATTAGTTTGAGTACTTCACTATTTTGGCAATTTGTATGTGATCTGTTGTACTTGTATCTACATTTACATGGTGTAAAACCAATAAAATGATGACATAATGGTAATTTTGGGTGATCCTCTTGGCCCTCAGACACAAACTTTGAACTACAGTAATGTGTTTTATAATAACTATCCAGTGCTATTGATGTGTGAACACGTTTCATGACTATTAGTCTAAAAATCACTATATTCGAATTCCAAACCACATATTAATGACAGGTTTCAAGATATTGGTTTGTTTTAACATCTGCAGTGTCTGAGAGTGTAACATAGGCAGAACAAAGATTATTTTTTGACAGGTTTCTCTGCAAAGTTTTTGCATCAAAAATCCTAAAACAATCTCTACTCTCTCCTCTCTATCTAAATCAATGTGTGTTTGTTTAGAAAAAGTTTAAAAATTGTGTAATTTTTCAAATCTTAAATACTTATTAATTACAATTAAATGCAGTTACTCTTGAAATCAAGAATCAGAATCAAGAATCCTTTCACAGTTTTACATCTTTGAGCTGATTTGACTTTCTGAAATTTAAGTCTTAAATTAGTCTTAAATTTAAAATTTAAATTGGAAAACCCTTGAAAACAGACTTTTTTTTTGAAGTAGTACTTGAAAAGTGATTGAATTATTAATAAATAAATAACAACATACATTTTTTTTTGCATAATAGATACAAAATAATAAAGATATTGTTTGATAAGTGCGGATTGTAGTCCTTGAAATCCCCAAAAGTGGTGCTTGAAAAGTAATTGCATTTTAGAGAATCTGTACGAACCCTGTACGAATTACGAAAAAATAAGAAGGAACTTTCAAGGCATTTTATGCAAGTTCTGTTTCTCAGTACCTACAGTTGCACAGCCCTGGATCTCTATGTGTGTCTGTCCTGTAGGAACAAGGCCTTCACACAAAAGATGCAGGCCATCTTCGCAGAGACCGTCGTCACCAGACATCCTTCTCTGACCTCAGACCGTGTCACCGGTGTGGAGGTGAGTGAGTCTCTATATACTCACTGTATACTCACTATATACTCATTAATAACTGTATACTCACTATATACTCAGTACTCACTGTATACTCACTGTATACTCACTATATACTCATTAATAACTGTATACTCACTATATACTCAGTACTCACTGTATACTCACTATATACTCATTAATAACTGTATACTCACTATATACTCAGTACTCACTGTATACTCACTATATACTCATTAATCACTGTATACTCACTAAATACTCAGTACTCACTGTATACTCACTATATACTCATTAATCACTGTATACTCACTATATACTCAGTACTCACTATATACTCACTATATACTCAGTACTCACTATATACTCATTAATCACTATATACTCACTATATACTCAGTACTCACTATATACTCACTATATACTCAGTACTCACTATATACTCATTAATCGCTGTATACTCCCTATATACTCAGTAATCACTGTATACTCACTGTATACTCAGTACTCTATATACTCACTACTCACTATATACTCATCAATCGCTGTATACTCAATATATACTCAGTACTCACTGTATACTCACTGTATACTCAGTACTCACTATATACTCAGTACTCTATATACTCACTACTCACTATATACTCATTAATCCCTGTATACTCACTATATATTCAGTAATCACTGTATACTCACTATATACTCGGTTCTCACTATACACTAAGTACTCACCATATACTCACTACTCACTATATACTGCAACACTCAAGCATTTACAGAAGAAACACTTTTGTTGCTCACTTTAGTCTCATAGGAGCGCTGGTTTTGGCTTAATGGGTAATGCAGTGTGAGTCTATGGAGTCTGCAGGTGTGCACTGAAGCATTATGGGTAATGTATTTCCTTTCTGTAGTGCGGGTCTCACACTTTCAGCGGCTCTTGGTGACGTTGGTCGGAGCGGACTGGGTCTTCGTCGTGATCCTGGGCTTCATCATGGCAGTGATCAGCTTCGTCATGGATATCTTCGTCACACTCTTCACGGACGGTGAGTGCATGACATTAACCCTCATCCTTTCCTCGTACTTTGTAACACATCTTTCCCTCGAAGGTTAAAATGACCCCGAGCCCTAAAATTATACTTAGTTGTCCAGAAATCTTATTTTATTTCATTTTGATAATATTTTTTCCTATTTTAAGTGCAATTTTTTTTTTGAGATTTTTTTATTTACCTTTAAATTACTAAATTTTATAAATAAATAATAAATTAATAATAATTTAAGCACATTAGACATTCTTTCATCTTAAATTCAAAATTGAATTCATAATCCTTTTAATTCAGCTCTAAATATCTTACACTGGGAGTCTTTGACCTCTTGTGGAAAATAATAATAACACATGATGATATTTCATTCCTCTAGATGGGCTTATAGCTCTATATGAGCAGCTGTTCCGCTGGGTCCTAAAGACAGTGTGTTTTCAGATACACATGTACACATTATAAAATCATTTTTGGCAGTTTGAGCATTTTTAAGTTTTCCTACGTGTACTGAAGCATTACGCACATTCCACTTTTAAATTTCAACCTCAAAACTTCTCAGACCCTTAATATTTTTGTGTGTGTGTGTGTGTGTGTGTGTGTGTGTATGTGGTTCAAGTGCGACAAAAGTCCTGGGGTGTTGACCCCTCTGATGAACACTAGAAAAATCTAGAAAAAAGTATTTTAAAATGACCTGAGGGAAGGAAAGCATTTCTTTCCCAAATGTAAAATCTCTCTCTCTCTCTCTCTCTCTCTCTCTCTCTCTCTCTCTAGCGCACAGGTGGATCTACAATGTTTCGGACAGTCATGTTTTCCTCCAGTATTTCGCGTGGGTCGCTTATTCTATGATCCTCATGTGTTTCGCGGCAGGATTCGTGAGCATAGTATCGCCTCAGGCTGCTGGTGAGACACACACACACACACACACACACTCACTGACTCACACACTCAATCCATCATTATAGCTATTTAATGCTAAACATAGTTTATGAGTTTTGATAGCTTTTACTCTACAGGTGTAAGGACATTAATGATGACATTTGAGCTGAGAAACATGTGATGAACTCTTTCTGTAACTCTTCATAACTCACGATTGATGTGTGTGTGTGTGTGTGTGTTTTAGGGTCAGGTATTCCTGAGATGAAGACGACTCTGAGAGGAGTTGTACTGTCGGAGTATCTGACCTTCAGAACACTGGTGTCCAAAGTCATCAGTCTGATCTTTGTGCTTGGAAGTGAATTACCAGTAGGCAAAGAGGTGAATACACACACACACACACACACACACTCATGGTGTTAATGATAGCACTGAAGATCGAAGGAGTGCCCTCTGGTGGCGAACAAACAACATAATGCAATGTTTTTAGATTTCTTTATGTGTCAGGCTTTATTTTCAGGTGAGCTTGTTATGATGTGTGTGTGTGTGTTCTGTAGGGTCCGTTCGTGCACATCGGCAGTATGTGTGCTATTCTTCTCTGCAAGTTCATGTCGCTCTTCAGTGGCATTTATAAGGTATTTAAACCATAATTATAACATCGATCTACCCAACACAGATCTGTGCTCAGTGCTTTGTTTTGAATCTTGAAATGTATTGTTGAGAAAAAGATGGTGTTAAAGCCCTTTCCCTGCTATCAGATTTTAAAAAATGGTGAAAATCATAAAATAGGTGTAATTCGAAATTCATCCTTTTACAGTAAAACTGTTGAAAAGGACCCCGTGTTTATATTTACATGGAATCGCTACTTTAAATATTTTTAGCGGCTCAATTTTTGTGATATCAACTTCAGATTTGGGAGGCTAATATATTTTGTAAAATATGTTTTGTATAAAATAAAAATTATTAGTTAAGGAGTTTAGTTAAGTTTACAGTAAACTTAAAATTTGATAACTTTTTCAACTTTTCTTTGGAAGTGCTTTCTCTTCCGGAATAATCTCAGCCTTAAAAAAAAAAAAAAACTAAGCTTAGCATCCAAAGCGTTCATGACCTTCAGCCATTAATGTGCAGATCTACACGGGTGACAGTAGAGAAGGTAAACCACAATGCTCTTGACCTGCAGCAAATTTAGTTATTTTCTGCATGTGTGTGTGTGTGTGTGTGTGTGGAACAGAACGAGGCCAGAAACAAGGAGATGCTGACGGTCGGATGTGCTGTTGGAATTGGGTGCTGCTTCGCTTCTCCTATTGGAGGTGAGAAACTGTGTGTGTGTGTGTGTGTGTGTGTGTGTGTGTGTGTGTGTGTGTGTGTGTGTGTGTGTGTGTGTGTGTGTGTGTGTGTGTGTGTGTGTGTGTGTGTGTGTGTGTGTTCAGCCTATGAGGACCACAGACTCTAGAGCAAGAAGATCTGACCTAACAGAGGCCATACTCGTGTGTGTGTGTGTGTGTGTGTGTGTGTGTGTGTGTGTGTGTGTGTGATGGGGAGGTTTAGGGGGATAGAAAATACAGTTTGTACAGTATAAAATCGTTATGTCTATGAAAAGTCCCCATAAAACATGGAAACTATGTGTGTGTGTGTGTGTTTCAGGAGTGTTGTTCAGCATGGAGATCACCTCAAGGTTTTTTGTCGCCCCAAACTACTGGCGTGGATTTCTGTCCGCTGTGTTCGGTTCCTTGATCTTCAGGTTACTGCCCGTGTGGCACGGAGAGGAAGGTGTGTGTGTGTGTGTGTGTTCTGCAGATAATGCATGTTATTAACGGGAACACTTTACAATAATGATCATCAGTTAGAATGAACTAAGAACGAACAATACTTCAACATCATTTATTAAACATTAATTTCAACATTCACTAGTTCATTATTAAAATCAAAGGGTGTATTTGTGAGCATTAGTGAATGCACTGAGCTAACATCAACACAATCAACAGCTCACAACCTTACTGTAAAGAGTTGCTGAGTGATGTAGATATCTATATAACCCTGTCGTCTGGCAGTTCAAATCAAAACTGCATTTCTGCAACTGGAGAAAGGACTTTCTAGTGATTTATATGTTGTTAATTTTGCAGTACCATAGTGCTCCTTTAATAAAGCGATCCGGCTGTGTGTTACAGCGTTTTTAACACCAGTCTCTGTTTTATAAGAATATATGAAGAGTTCAGATGCAAAAGCCTCTAAATGCCATTTGAAATTTTCTTCCTTAATGATGATTTTTATCAAACTTGTATATTTAAGTTCAGTGATTTCACTTAAATAACAATTAATAGGTAATTATCATTGCCATTTAAGTGAAATCACTGAACTTAAATATACAAGCTTGATAAAAATCATCATTTTAGAAGAAAATTTCAAATGGCACTTAGAGGCTTTTGCATCTGAACTCTTCATTTAGAGACTTGTGCCGTGTGTGTAAAGCACAGTTCTCTCTCTCTCAGAGACGCTGACGGCTCTATACGCCACCAAGTACAGGCTGGACCATCCGTTCGACCTGCAGGAGCTGCCGGCCTTCGCTGCCATGGGGTCAGTGTGTGTGTGTGTGTGTGTGTGTGTGTCGCGCTCACGATCGCAGATCTCTCTCTAATGTCTGCTCTCTGTAAAGCTGCTTGGAAATGATGTGTGTTGTGAAAAGCGCTATATTCAAATAAATGTGAAAACATGAGTATTTACATTATCAGATATCCGGCTTTTATATAGTATAAGTTTAAGAGTATAAGTTTGATTGGTGGCACTCACAGATTTTTGTCACTTTTTCAGTTTAAAACAAACTTTTCTAAAACACTTCTCGATGTGATCAAATCATTGTGACGCACACACACACACACACACGTTAACACACACACACACACGTTCTCTTCCTCAGGATAGTGTGTGGCTTCGGCGGAGCCTTCTTCGTGTTTCTGTACGGAAAGATCTCTCTGTTTGTGAAGAAGCAGAAAGCCATGAACAGCTTCCTCATGAAGAAGTGAGTGATCATAAACATGCCAAATGTGTGTGTGTGTGTGTGTGTGTAATCATGTGTTTTCTGTCTAGTGTTTTCTTGTATTCTGCTTTGGTCTCTGTACTGATCTCAACGCTCACTTTCCCTCCGGGCTTTGGGCAGTTCATGGCTGGAAAGGTAACACACACACACACACACACACACACTGAAATGAAGCCTAACCAGTGTGTACCATTTTTTGGTTTATATAGAACCATTTCCTGTGTATGACATCATTTCCTCTTTATAGCTTACACAAAGGGAATCCTTAATTTCATTTTTTGACAATCGCACCTGGTCAAATAATTGCATCATGGCAGACTTCGATCATGACGATCACTTAGCGGCCTGGAAGCATCCTCAGGCGAACGTCTTCATCATCCTCACCATCTTCGTCTTAATGAAGGTAAACACACACACACACACCATGTTTACATGTTTCATGCTAATCTCAGGATATCACATAATAAAGGCTGGATGGAAATGCCAAGCACATATAAACACAGTTTTGTTCCCAGACTAGCGCTCATAAACCTCTTTATCCTGAACGCTGGTTGTGCTTTTCTTGCTGTTTTAATATATACAGTGTTTGTGAGTGTGTGTGTTGTTGTGCTTTAATTGTGTTACTGTTGTCTGTTGTGTAGTTCTGGATGTCTGCGCTTTCCATAACCCTTCCTATACCGTGTGGTTCCTTCGTGCCCATATTCGTCATTGGTATGTGCTTCTGTGTTTATCCAAAAACATATCATTATTTTTGGGGCATTTCCACCGTTTGACACCGTGATAACTAAAACCATAAAGTTTAAATCCAGTTTAAGTCCAGAAAATCTAAAGCAGCTCAAATGTTTCTTGATCATCAGATCCTCATATTAAAGTGATTTCTGAAGGATCATGTGACACTGAAGACTGGAGTAATGACCGTGTGTGTTCGTGTGTGTGTTTCAGGTGCTGGGTTTGATCAGATCAGTGTGAACTGACCGTGTGTGTGTGTGTGTGTGTGTGTGTGTGTGTGTGCGTGTGTGTGTGTGTGTGTGTGTGTGTGTTTCAGGTGCTGGGTTTGGCCGTTTGGTGGGTGAAGGAATGGCCACTTTGTTCCCAGAGGGAATTAACACAGATGGACACATATATCACATCGTGCCCGGAGCGTACGCTGTCGTGGGTGAGAAACTGGATTTGTATGCATCCTGCGGGTCCCTTTATATACATATAGTATATAGTACATACTTAAAGCCACTTAATATAAAATGGGCCCAACCTGCCAGTATCAAGTTCATATCATTAGGAGTTACACTGGGCCCTATCACACACACCAGACGCGTTTCAGCCCTACGCTATTATCATTTTCCCCCTTTTAGACCACGCACCATTGGTCCCTTCGTTAAACTAGCAAAAGTGGATTCGGACACGACCTAAATATAATTGCGTTGTACACTTTACACCATGAGCTTAGATCGTTAAAATAGAGCCCAAGGTGTTTGAAGATCAGTCACATGACTCCCTCTGTGTTTGGGGATCAGTCACATGACTCCCTCTTGTGAGCAGGAGCGGCAGCGCTGACGGCAGGAGTCACACACACGCTGTCGACGGGCGTGATCATGATGGAGTTGACGGGTCAGATTGGCCACACTCTGCCCATCTTGATCTCGGTGATTCTGGCCAACATGGTCTCTCAGAGTCTCCAGCCGTCCATTTACGACACGGTGATCCGCATTAAGAAGCTGCCGTACCTGCCCCTGCTCCGATGGGGACGCCGCGAGTGAGTCTCTGTGCATCACCTACACCTACTAATTTATACTGTTAAAAGCACTATATAAAGGTGACTTGACTACACTTTCCTTAGCAGCTCATTTTAACCTTGTTTCAGAGGGATTTTTGTGCTTTGTTTTTTCCTGTATTATATGCATTAAAAATGTCAATAATTCCCAGCAAGCAATTTTGCGTCTTAATAGCGTGTAAACACAGGCCTGATGATGTCCAGACTAAAACAAGGCACAATTTGAGCTATCAGTGAAAATTTAATAGACATATAAACCATAGCCCTGTACAATAAAGGTATCGTGAGTTGACTTGACTTGTGCATCAAAAATGTTTGATAATTACCTCCTCTTTCCCTGTCGGTAGGAAGTGTAATATTCATGTGGAAGACTTTATGGAAAGAGATGTTCGTTATGTCTCACTGAACTCCACCTACAGAGATATTAACAGGATCCTGCGCTCAGTAAATCTGAAAATGCTGCCTGTGGTGAAGTCTGAAGGTACAACACATCTCTTGCTGAAGTAACATTCAGAGAACATTCTAAAGTAACATTCAGAGAACATTCTAAAGTAACATTCAGAGAACATTCTAAAGTAACATTCAGAGAACATTCTAAAGTAACATTCAGAGAACATTCAAAAGTAACATTCAGAGAACATTCAAAAGTAACATTCAGAGAACATTCTAAAGTAACATTCAGAGAACATTCAAAAGAAACATTCAGAGAACATTCTAAAGTAACATTCAGAGAACATTCTAAAGTAACATTCAGAGAACATTCTAAAGTAACATTCAGAGAACATTCTAAAGTAACATTCAGAGAACATTCTAAAGTAACATTCAGAGAACATTCTAAAGTAACATTCAGAGAACATTCAAAAGTAACATTCAGAGAACATTCTAAAGTAACATTCAGAGAACATTCTAAAGTAACATTCAGAGAACATTCAAAAGTAACATTCAGAGAACATTCAAAAGTAACATTCAGAGAACATTCTAAAGTAACATTCAGAGAACATTCAAAAGAAACATTCAGAGAACATTCTAAAGTAACATTCAGAGAACATTCTAAAGTAACATTCAGAGAACATTCTAAAATAACATTCAGAGAACATTCTAAAGTAACATTCAGAGAACATTCAAAAGTAACATTCAAAGAACATTCTAAAGTAACATTCAGAGAACATTCAAAAGTAACATTCAGAGAACATTCAAAAGTAACATTCAGAGAACATTCTAAAGTAACATTCAGAGAACATTCTAAAGTAACATTCAGAGAACATTCAAAAGAAACATTCAGAGAACATTCTAAAGTAACATTCAGAGAACATTCTAAAGTAACGTTCAGAGAACATTCAAAAGTAACATTCAGAGAACATTCTAAAGTAACATTCAGAGAACATTCAAAAGTAACATTCAGAGAACATTCTAAAGTAACATTCAGAGAACATTCTAAAATAACATTCAGAGAACATTCTAAAGTAACATTCAGAGAACATTCAAAAGTAACATTCAAAGAACATTCTAAAGTAACATTCAGAGAACATTCTAAAGTAACATTCAGAGAACATTCTAAAATAACATTCAGAGAACATTCTAAAGTAACATTCAGAGAACATTCTAAAGTAACATTCAGAGAACATTCTAAAGTAACATTCAGAGAACATTCAAAAGTAACATTCAGAGAACATTCTAAAGTAACATTCAGAGAACATTCTAAAGTAACATTCAGAGAACATTCTAAAATAACATTCAGAGAACATTCTAAAGTAACATTCAGAGAACATTCTAAAGTAACATTCAGAGAACATTCTAAAGTAACATTCAGAGAACATTCAAAAGTAACATTCAGAGAACATTCTAAAGTAACATTCAGAGAACATTCTAAAGTAACATTCAGAGAACATTCTAAAGTAACATTCAGAGAACATTCTAAAGTAACATTCAGAGAACATTCTAAAGTAACATTCAGAGAACATTCTAAAGTAACATTCAGAGAACATTCTAAAGTAACATTCAGAGAACATTCTAAAGTAACGTTCAGAGAACATTCTAAAGTAACGTTCAGAGAACATTCTAAAGTAACATTCAGAGAACATTCAAAAGTAACATTCAGAGAACATTCTAAAGTAACATTCAGAGAACATTCTAAAATAACATTCAGAGAACATTCTAAAGTAACATTCAGAGAACATTCTAAAGTAACATTCAGAGAACATTCAAAAGTAACATTCAAAGAACATTCTAAAGTAACATTCAGAGAACATTCAAAAGTAACATTCAGAGAACATTCTAAAGTAACATTCAGAGAACATTCTAAAGTAACATTCAGAGAACATTCTAAAGTAACATTCAGAGAACATTCAAAAGAAACATTCAGAGAACATTCAAAAGTAACATTCAGAGAACATTCTAAAGTAACATTCAGAGAACATTCTAAAGTAACATTCAGAGAACATTCAAAAGTAACATTCAGAGAACATTCTAAAGTAACGTTCAGAGAACATTCAAAAGTAACATTCAGAGAACATTCTAAAGTAACATTCAGAGAACATTCAAAAGTAACATTCAAAGAACATTCTAAAGTAACATTCAGAGAACATTCTAAAGTAACATTCAGAGAACATTCTAAAGTAACGTTCAGAGAACATTCTAAAATAACATTCAGAGAACATTCTAAAGTAACATTCAGAGAACATTCAAAAGTAACATTCAAAGAACATTCTAAAGTAACATTCAGAGAACATTCAAAAGTAACATTCAGAGAACATTCAAAAGTAACATTCAGAGAACATTCTAAAGTAACATTCAGAGAACATTCTAAAGTAACATTCAAGAACATTCTAAAGTAACATTCAGAGAACATTCTAAAGTAACATTCAGAGAACATTCAAAAGTAACATTCAGAGAACATTCTAAAGTAACATTCAGAGAACATTCTAAAGTAACATTCAGAGAACATTCAAAAGTAACATTCAGAGAACATTCTAAAGTAACATTCAGAGAACATTCAAAAGTAACATTCAGAGAACATTCTAAAGTAACATTCAGAGAACATTCTAAAGAAACATTCAGAGAACATTCTAAAGTAACGTTCTAACCTAATGGGAACATTAGCAAAATGTTTGTAGAACGTTGGGAGAAAACATCAAGTCAGCTTTATAATATATAATAATTTCAATTTCATTTAAATTTAAATTATATATTATATATATAGTGTTTTAATTAATTTATAAATAAATCAAGATAATGTGTATTGTGAAAAGTAACATACCAATAAACATTACATTATTTGCCAGGTTTTAAATATATAGCTAGCTAGATAGACAGACAGACAGACAGACAGACAGACAGACAGACAGACAGACAGACAGACAGACAGACAGACAGACAGACAGACAGACAGACAGACAGACAGACAGACAGACAGACAGACAGACAGACAGACAGACAGATAGATAGATAGATAGATAGATAGATAGATAGATAGATAGATAGATAGATATCTGCCTGTCCTGATCCCTGTGTTTGATTGGCTGGTGTCTCTCAGAGTCGATGCTCTTGCTGGGTTCTGTCGAGCGCGCTCAGTTGCTGGCGCTCCTAAAGCAGCGAGTGCAGGACCAGCGTGGAGGACTTGCTCCCAGCTTGCCTTGCAGCTACAGGGTTCACTTCCAGGTCAGACGGTGAACGCTTGTTCAATATAATAAGATATAATAAGCTGTTTCTGCAGTGTGTTTAAGCCAGCACTGTTCCAAATTCCTTTTTCTAATTTCCCACAATACCCTGCAATTCTGCAATTGACTTTTTATGCAGTGTTTCCTGCATACAGCATTTCATTTACACAGAACCAACCAGTGTGTGTGTGTGTGTGTGTGTGTGTTGTAGACGTCCACAGAAGAGTCTCCATCCACCTCGGCTCATGCAGACTCCTCTAAACCTCTGAAGCCTGTCCTGAAGAAGTCGGCTGTAGATGAAGAAGAGATTACGAGTAATGTCACAATCATGTTATTCCAGCTTCATTTATTCTTTTTGGTCAAATATTTGACTCAAAGTTTACAGTTTCCCATCACAGCACACACACCTGTTCTCCTGTTGATTCCTCTCTCAGATCCGTATGATTCTGGCATGAGTTTGAAGAAGCTGTGCTGTTCTCGGCCTGACATTGATGCACTGCAGGTGAATCTCCAGCTCACACACTAATGCTGCTCTAGACATTTACTCCAGTGTTTTTGAGGACGTGATTATAGTCAACTTTGTAAGTGTGTGTCTTAAGTCAGCAATAATGCCATTCATTTTGCCATTGTGTACATGTGTAACAGATGATGGGCCGTGATTTCTGTGATGTGGAAAACAAAATTTAGTTTTAAGAAAACTTAAATTTAGAAAATGGAATGTCACAGAATTTGGATGAATAAATTAAAAGTAGGGCTGTACATTCATCAAGTCACGACATGTCTGTGATAATGATAATGATAATAATAACAAAATGTGTCTGCACAAAGCTGGACATTTTTGGACATTTAGACATTTTTTTGTCCCCATGAGGAAACAAATTTATAAATCATATTAAATATGATATTTAAAAAAAAATCTAAAATAGCATAAAGTTTTGTGTGATGGGTAGGTTTAGGGTAGGGTTAGTGTAAGGGGAGAGAATATACAGTTTATACCAGGGGTTCTCAAACATTTTGGTGCCAGGGACCCCTTTCAGGGGAAAAAAAATTCCAAGGACCCCCCTCATATTTATAACAGTTATTGAGCACAAAGTTAATGTGTGAGCGGCAAATGAAATATTTTTGCACAAAATGAATGGTCTCCACCCAGGGTACTATGCAGGAATTTCTAAATAGCCTACTGAGGTAACGCAAGTGATCTTGCTAGGAATCACTTAGGATCCCTCACTTAGGAATTTTTGATGTTCTTGATCTACACATGTGCATTTTAAGGTGTTTTAAGGCCCCACAATTGGATAACTATAGATTTAGTAGAAGCATGTCAGTCAGTGGCATACATTTTTGTCAAGATGTCACGAAACACAATCACATATTCCAATCAGGAATGGCCTTAAAAGAGAAATGTTTCAATAATTAGGCCTATTCTGCACACAAATAAAGCCCATAAGCCTATAAATACAATGATAATGGCATTATGTTTAATAGGTGCGTGCGTTGTTAATTTGAGCTACTGTAATTAGCTAAAAAAACATACAGTATATGTTAAATATATGAATCCATAATGTTAATCTCATGGGCACAGTATGTTTCTATTGACCTGCTTTTTCCTTTGTTAAAGTTGAGCTTGATTAATACTTTGCAAACTGATTGTTTCAGTCGTTTTTTAAAACTTTTATCTAAAACAGCTGTTTGTTAATTAAGACCTACATCTTATCTCGCACTTTATGACCGTTGACTGAAACGTCGTGCGGGGAACTTTGAGTTCACTCCGACTCAAACATTTTGACATTGACGAGCTATCGTTGTTAGTCTGCTGAAGCACCTCAGACGAGAAGGTCAGTATCATCGCGATGTGCATCCTTGCAACCTCAGTTGTGGGTACGGCCCTGTCACTATGCACTTTTATTTTGATAATGATCAGACTTCTAATGTCAAATCTACAGTAGCAGTGCTAGAACTGACTATTGTGCGCGCACGCGAGACGCCGGGGCGCAATTACATGGGAATTTTTCCTCAGCAGTGGAAACAGGAATACTCTTATTTATGGTCATAGATAAGACAAGAGTGCATCATCCGAAACGGTAAAGTGTCCATTTTTTTATTTGTGTAGGCTACATTATAAATGACTACAAAATGTCATGCCTTTTAAAAATACAGAAAAGAACCGGATGCGGGTTCATGCCGTCTCTCTGTCTCCTTTCTGGCGCACGTCCCGCAAAATCAACAGCAGCGAATAGTCTACTTGACGCTAAGACATAGATTATCTATCTATAGAAAACTTTAACTGTCTACTTTGTATTGTTTTATGTTAAATGCTTTATATAAGTTACTTAGGAATAAACAGCATGTTTTCAGATGATAAAGAAAACATGACTCATAGCATGGAAAAAAACGTTAGGTTGTAAATTATTTCGCGGACCCCCTGGCTTTAGCTCGCGGACCACCAGGGGTCCGCGGACCCCACTTTGAGAACCACTGGTTTATACAGTATAAAATCATTATATCGATGGAGAGTCCACATAAAACATGAAACACAACTTGTGTGTGTGTGTGTGTGTGTCCTTCTCTCTTTAGGACTACCCAGAGGCAGAAGATGATGCAATACTTCAGGAGGTGAGGACATCTGAACACACACACACACACACACATTCATTCACACTCATTCACATACCGTATCTCTGGCTCTGAATGCAGATTGAGGAGTGGGAGGAGCCACAGCTTGACGAACAGGTGAACTTCAACAACTGCAAGATTGACCCCGCCCCCTTCCAGCTGGTGGAAGGCACTTCACTGCACAAGGTCAGACTGTGTGTCTGCTGTTTATTCAGCTTTAGTTTGGGGAGAAAACAGTGATGTCGTAATTGTTTTTGGAGTTTAGTTTCAGGAGATGCATTGTCACTTTAAACATCAAAAAGTGGGAAAAAAGGTGATTTATCCTGATACTCCCATTTAGCATCTCATTCTCTCTCTGACAGACTCACACTATGTTTTCTGTGTTGAATCTGGACTACGCTTATGTCACCAGTATCGGGCGACTGATTGGTGTTGTTTCACTGAAAGAGGTGAGAGTTCAGCAGACGCACAACAATGAGAAAAAAACACTGCACATCATCTACACTGAAGAGGTTCTTCATTGGTTTACATTAGGAACATTCAGAGAACATTCTAAAGTAACGTTCAGAGAACATTCTAAAGTAACGTTCAGAGAACATTCTAAAGTAACATTCAGAGAACATTCTAAAGTAACATTCAGAGAACATTCTAAAGTAACGTTCAGAGAACATTCTAAAGTAACGTTCAGAGAACATTCTAAAGTAACATTCAGAGAACATTCTAAAGTAACGTTCAGAGAACATTCTAAAGTAACATTCAGAGAACATTCTAAAGTAACGTTCAGAGAACATTTTAAAGTAACGTTCAGAGAACATTCTAAAGTAACGTTCAGAGAACATTCTAAAGTAACATTCAGAGAACATTCTAAAGTAACATTCAGAGAACATTCTAAAGTAACGTTCAGAGAACATTTTAAAGTAACGTTCAGAGAACATTCTAAAGTAACATTCAGAGAACATTCTAAAGTAACGTTCAGAGAACATTTTAAAGTAACGTTCAGAGAACATTCTAAAGTAACGTTCAGAGAACATTCTAAAGTAACATTCAGAGAACATTCTAAAGTAACGTTCAGAGAACATTCTAAAGTAACATTCAGAGAACATTCTAAAGTAACATTCAGAGAACATTCTAAAGTAACGTTCAGAGAACATTCTAAAGTAACGTTCAGAGAACATTCTAAAGTAACATTCAGAGAACATTCTAAAGTAACGTTCAGAGAACATTTTAAAGTAACGTTCAGAGAACATTCTAAAGTAACGTTCAGAGAACATTCTAAAGTAACATTCAGAGAACATTCTAAAGTAACATTCAGAGAACATTCTAAAGTAACATAAAGTAACCAAAAACGTTTTAAAAACAGAATGTTTTGAACTTTCAAAGAACCAAACATTTTTTGTATAACTAAACAGGAGAATAAAAGAGAATTCAAAGAAAACACATGCATTTTTCAGTTGTTTACAGTAGAAAAATCCTGATTTCGTGTTTGCCAAATAAACTGCTGATTGAATTATTTTTTTAAATAAAGACAAATCGCTTGCTTTGAATTTCCATATTAATCTGAGCTGAGGAGACGCCAGGAGAACATGAAGAACTGAAGTCATTAACAGCTCCTCTCCTGTGTTGTAGCTGCGTAAAGCCATCGAAAGCTATCTTCCAGCGGACGGCGTGCGGTTACGACCCATTCTGGCCAGTTTCAGAGACCGAGGCTTCAGAGGAGCCCCGATCGAAACCGCTGAGCTCCACAAACTACTGGACCATCAGGCCAGCTAGAACACCAGAACACATGAGAACGAGGTTTTCATCTTTCTGCCCTCGTTTCCTGCACTATTACATTCCCAGAGACGTCCTCAGTGGTGGAAACCCACGTAAATACTGTTTTTATTTGAGTCTGTATTATTTATAATTAGCAATAGAAGTCAATGGAAACATGTTTGTTGCAGCAACACTTTTTCTGATGTTCCGTCTTTTCTTTGAATATTATTGGTCCCTCTCTCTATAAAGACCAGTTTGGTTTAAAAATGTTTGTGGGAGATTTGATCGTCATTTGAAGCCAAACCACTTTCGAGGTGAAAGTGCATTTAATTAGAACACGACAGAAAAATAATTAAATAAAAATAAAGTCCAATAATAACAACAATGTTGGGGGGGAAATTGTACTTTTTATTGAAACCCTTTTTCATTTTATCTTATACTTTTTTTGTTTTCACTAATATACAGCTTGTGTGTTTTCACTATCATCATGACGTCCTTTCTTTCGAGGTTTATTGGTGCTAAATGTGTTTGTTGAATGTATAATTGTTTGTTTTTTAATTACGACATTTTTAACAGACTCAACCCTTAATCCATTTGTGAGATTTGTATCTAAAGCAAACTTTTAAAGAGACCATGACATAAGAAATCAAATTTGCCTTGGTTTTATGACAAATAAGAGGTGTTCATACTATTAAAACGTTCAGAGCTTAAAACGTCATCATTGTTATAAACAAAGCTTTAATTGAATCAAGTTCCAAAAACGGCTCGTTTTGAAATAAGCAGCGACTGCCATTGAGTCTGACAGAGGCTGATCCACAAGCCATCAGAATTAATGCTTTGTCTGTAAATAACGGTTTTATATGAATAATGTTTTCAATGCGAGTTTCCTGTGCAGTGATGTTTGCCAAAAATAAGTGTCCGTCCGTTTACTGACGAGCCTTAAAGGAGCCGCACCTTTAAAACGGTCATTTCAGACAAAGACTCAGAAATAGGGTTTTAAAAAAATTTTTTTGTGTGTAAAAAACTTCATTAACATAAGTGAACCTCAAAGATCATGTAAAAAAATGAAAATCCATGTCATAACCTCTTTAAAACTTTACAAAGGTTGTTAATTTACTCTTACATTTTAACTTGTTACTCACCATGAAAATATCCAAGATTCAAACACCAACCAACCGAGCAACTATTTAATTAGGTCTACATGTTAAGTGGTGAAAGGATGCATGTCCACACCTTTACCCGTCTGGTTCAGCATTACTGTGTGTAAGTGCAGAAACACACTCTACGCTTGTGTATTATGTTTTGTGTGTTTCAGGCCAACGGATGCATGAAACCAAAAGTGAATAAAACGATCTGAGAAAATAAACTCTGAGAGTGACTGGACATTTCATTTTATCTTGTTCTTCATTCAGTGAAAGTGCTGTTTTTGGGGCAGGGTTAGCGTACTCCAGCCCCCGGAAGCGAAAAACGCAAATATCTCAACGAAAACTCAACCTATTGACGCCAAATTTTTATCGAGTGGAGAACGGGCCGAGACCTTTCGAAAGAGACCACCCCAGCCTCGTGGCCCCCCGCGGGCCCGAGATACAGGCCCCAAAGCCCCCCCGGAAGCGAAAAACCCAAATATCTCGGTGACAACTCAACGTTTCCGTCGGAGACCGGGCTCTTTCAAACGCCTCGCCGAACTGAACAAAACAATATGAGTTTCGTCATTTTTGGTAGAGGATTCGCGGAGATATTAGCCGAAAACCGTCGGCCGCGCTCTGAAATGGCGCCACGAGCTCGGGAGAAAATCGCAAATATCTCGGCAAAAATTCAACGTTTCGATGCCATTTTTATCGAGTGGAGAACGGACCAAGACCTTTCGAATGAGACCACCCCCAGCCTCGTGGGCCCCCAAAACTCAACATATCCGTCGGAGATCGGGCTCCTTCCAACCCGGTGGTCTAAAGTTATGTTCTAATGTTCTCAAGAAATGATCTTTCAGTGAGATGAGATGTTGTTCGGCTGCAGTTCCAAACGCTTCCACTAGAGGAAACGCTCTCCGCTTCCGGCTCATGGGACCTTATTTCGGAAAAAATATGAACGGTAGTCAATGGCGAGAGACAACTTATCTTTTTATTCCGTCTGACTCTGAACTGTGCCCTCAATTACACATATGATGTTTGTCAATTTAAAAGATAATTTTGAAAGTCAAAAACGTCGCAGTTTGTCATACAACAGAAGAGTAACATTTAGTTTTATGTGAAAATCGCTCTATGAACTACATCTCCCGGGTAGCGAAATGAGATCCGCTGCTCGAGTGTGTGCAGTCTGGTACAAAACACTCAGGTAGGACGGCGTAACGTTACGAGTAAGACTGTAGAAACAATGACAGACGTTAGCCTCAGTAAAGTTAGCTTCATTCATTGAGAGAAATTGTGCGCCTTTGGGGTTTGTAGTCTTTGTAATTACGTATTTTTACAGTCTTATATACCTCAACGGTCTTACATCAAACTGCCACTTTCTTTACTTTAAAATGTATCTTTTAAATTGACAAACATCATATGTGTAATTGAGGGCACAATTCAAACGAGATCAAAATATTTGTTGTCTCTCGCCATTGACTACCATTCAATATTTTTCCGAAATAAGGTCCCATGGTGGTCGACCGGAAGAGGAGGGACTTAGGCTACAATACAAGTGTGACTGTTTTTTTCAGGACCATTTATAGACCATTTCACAAGATGTAAACAACACTGGTCCAGAAGCACTTCCTGTTTCAGTTTAACACTACATAAAAGCTGGGATAAAATACAACCAACAGCACATTTAAAACTGAATCAAAAAGTTAAACAAACATCTTTAAGATGCTTTCTTTACATGTGAAATAAAGAAAACAGTTGCAAACTGAAACAGGAAGTGTTTCTGGACCAGTGTTGTTTACATCTTGTGAAATGGTCTATTCTTAAAATCATGTCCCTGATTTTCGCTAACCCTAACTTACATGATCTTCACACGACACCGTAAGTGCCAAAACCTTTACCAAGTTACAATTGTGAAGAAGTAAAAAAAAAAAAAAATCTAAAAACCGTAAAAGGTTTTACCAATCAGCAGAGCGTTTAGATGCATTGCACACAGACATCAGGAATCTGCGTATGAATCTCAACAATGCATTCTAGCAGCCATTGTAGAATAAAACTGTCATGTGTATTGTTCATCATCTTTACTTACTGAATATAGTGCGGTTATTCTGTACGGGTGTGTCTGTGAATGTGTGTTATCTGTGCGATGAGAGACTGTTGGAATGTTGTGTGGGTCGGGAATAAATCTCAGCAAGAATCAAACGTTACAGAGACCCTGAAGAGTATCCGCCCTAGACAGTGCATCTTTCCGCTTTAAACCGCACGAGTGGATCCTCCTGTTTTACCAGCCCAGCCCTGAGGCCTCGGGTCATCACGACTGTCAGCTCATGCTAACAAATGGAAAATAACTCTAAAACACAACACAAACGGTTCTCCTCATTGCAAAACCATTATTATCAAGCGATTTTTAAGTAGTGCTGTGAAATGATTAATCACGAGTTTGTGTTTACATATATATCTGTGCACGGTGTATAATTACTCATATATTTAAGAAAAATGTGTTATTTATACATAAAATATTGATATATTATATTACAGGATATACGTGCAAATATTTATTTAAAATATTAATACAAACTTTATATATACAAACAGATATTATGTAAACACAAACTTTTATTTTGGATGTGATTAATTGTTTCCCAGCACTATTTATAAGTGTTGTAAAATAAAAATCACATGCGATCATTTTATGAATGTGAATTAATATAGAAATTTTATAAGTTAAAGAAGTCCAGGTGGAATATTTCTCAAGATGAGTTTGTTTTGAAAAATCACTTTTATTGTCAAAAACCTTCTTTCCAACTACAAAGAAAATACACTGTTATCTTCAGCAGGGCATGTTGTCATTATATAGGATACGTCACAATATGTATTCACACTGATATGAGAAAACAAACATTTGTTATATGACATACATATTTTTATAGATAAGTGCATCATAGAAAGGATGTAACAGCTTGCAGCAATATATAAAAATATAGCAAAATATTGTACTAATAAAGACAAACGCCACAACTCGATGTTTAAAACCAACATACAAAACCCTGAGAGAAAACGTTTTTGACAGGATGTTTTCCCATGTGACAACTAGCCCCGGTGTGTCCTTCAGCTTCAGGCCTACAAACAGAGAGAGAACAATTTTAACTTGTTATCATTATAATACTAACGTGTGTCTTATATAAAGATATGGATAACGAGATCTACAGAACGGATTGTGGTTCCTGGCAAATCTTTCATGTTCCAGTCTTTTCAACTCGAGACCGGTTCGTCCGCATTACTGGGGCGCGTCCACATCACTCACACTACCTGGTGTTCTCACTCGCTTACACAGATTTATGAGGAACTTTAAAATATGATGAATGAAACTAAGGGTAGCATCTATGCAGAATCAGCAGGTGTGTGTGTGTGTGTGTGTGTGTGAGCCGTGTATCGAGCAGCATCAAACGAGGCTCATGTTCAGGGGAATGGAGAAGCACACGTTACCTCATCGCTGGATGAAGAAGAAGACTTGCGTCCTCGACCTCGACCTCGACCGTGACCGTGTCCGTGTCCGTGTTCATGACTGTGTCCGTGACCCTTTTTGTGTTCTTTATCCTTCTTCTTGTCCTTGTCTTTGCACTTATCTTTATCTTTGCTCTTGTCTTTATCTTGTTCTTTGCACTTGTCCTTCTCTTTCTCCTTTTCTTTGCAATCACTCTGAGAAGAACCCAAATAAACAGTATGATGCAGTCAGGACACGGAGAACTTCCCTTATTGGACGTCACTGTTACCCCTCGAGGGCTGAACAGGAATCTTCCGGGTTTAATCTCGACACAAAGACATTTTACTTTTCTAATCTGATTAGTTTTGAGTTGAACCAGTGTATTATTGTGTCACACATGTTGCTGTTTCTGTAACTGATTTAGATTTTCTTCTAAACTTTCATGAACAAGTCTTCTTACCTTGTCCTTGCTCTCTTCTTTGTCTTTATCCTTCTCTCCGAACCCAAAGATTCCCTCCACCTCTGCCCCCTCCTGCTTCTTCACCTCGTCTCCTCCAACAGCAGCTGAAGAACACACACCGGCTCCGTTACAGGTCGGACAATCACACAATCACGTCTCCATGTTCACAGATGGATGAGTTTACCTGAGTCGAGATCGAAGTCCATGATGAATGTGATGTGATGGTGATGACAGCAGTATTTATCTTCACACCAGAGCTCCTCCTCCTCACACACACACACACCTGAGCATAACAACAGTTGTTAGGTGTGTTCGAGAGCGATCCGTCCTCGTGTTCTGATGTCAAACACACAGAAGATCATGAAGTTCTTCTAGGTGTGCTGGTCCGACGGGAACAAACTCAATTGCGTTTGCAGTCACTGAAGCTCTATTACATTTTTTTTGTTTATATTTTGTCATTTATTTTAAGATTTTATAAAATTTCATACATTGTTTTTTTTTTAAATACACAGTATTAAAGGATTAGTTCACTTTTGAAAAATCTTTTGCTGATAATTTACTCACCCCCGAGTCATCCAAGATGTCCACGTCTTTCTTTCTTCAGTCGAAAATAAATTAAGGTTTTTGATGAAAACATTCCAGGATTTTCTCCATAATGGACTTCAGTGGGACCAGGCGGTTCAAGGTCCAAAAGAAACTTTCAGTACAAACTGCAAACTTGTTCAATGGGCTTTAAACGACACCAGACCAATAAGGGTCTTATCAAGCGAAACGATCACTCGTTTTTTTTTTAAATAACAAGATTAAACGCTCGCCTTGCTCTGTTCTGTGGTGCGCGTTCGTGACTCTCCTGTTCGAACTCGTTCAACAAAATGAACAAATCTTTTTCCGAATCAATTCGTTCGTTTCTTTCGCCGAATGAACCAAATGACTCGGAAAAAGATTTGTTCATTTTGCTGAACGAATTCGAACAGGAGTGCGTTAACAGAGCAAGGCGAGCGTTTGAGCTTATAAAACTTAAACTTTGTTATTTATTTATAAAACGAGTGATCGTTTCGCTTGATAAGACCCTTATTCATCGTTTGGAATCGTTTAAAGCCCTTTGAACAAGTTTGCAGTTTGTACTTAAAGTTTCTTTTGGACCTTAAACCGTCTGGTTCCCACTGAATGGAGAAAATCCTGGAATGTTTTCATTAAAAACTTTCGACTGAAGAAAGAAAGACATCTTGGATGACATGGGGGTGAGTAAATTATCAGCAAAAGTTTTTTCAAAAGTGAACTACTCCAAGGTGTTGTTAGTGTATGGAGAGCTTAAGTCCCGCCCCTCCGCGCTTCCGGCTCATGGGACCTTATTTCGGAAAAAATATGAATGGTAGTCAATGGCGAGAGACAACTTATCTTTTTATTCCGTCTGAACTGTGCCCTCAATTACAGATATGATGTTTGTCGATTTAAAAGATAATTCTGAAAGTCAAAAACGTCGCAGTTTGTCATACAACAGAAGAGTAACATTTAGTCCATTTATGTGAAAATCGCTCTATGAACTACATCTCCCGGGAAGCGAAACGAGATTGCATGCACCGCTGCTCGTGTGTGTGCAGTCTGGTACAAAACACTCAGGTAGGAGTCGGACGGCGTAACGTTACGATTATAACGTAAGACTGTAGAAACAATGACAGATAGCCTCAGTAAAGTTAGCTTCATTCATTGAGAGAAAATGTGCGCCTTTGGGGTTTGTAGTCTTTGTAATTACGTATTTTACGTATGGCACTCACTGTGACTCAATACATCATGGACATGATTTGAAAAGCATAAAAGGTCCTGAAAAAAACAGTCGCACTGGAATCGAGTGTGAGACGAGTTTCCTCTAGTGGAAGCGTTTGGTACTGCAGCCGAACAACATCTCATTTCTTAAG